CCATGTCCGGTGTTTCTAGAGGGGTTGCACATACATCACAGAGTTCATTAAAAGTGTCATGATAGGCAGAAGCATCAGAAAGGTTTAGCCCACTTTAGCGCATTATGTTTACGTCAAATATCGAATCCTCATTTGAGAAATTACAAAAGATGTATACAAATCATTTGCTCCCATGTGAGATTAAAAAAACATGGGCCGCAACCTGGGCTGGACTGATCTGGCATACCAGGCATTTTCCAGGTGGGCCGACACACTTTGGAGCCGGTATGATTTATCTTTGAATCAGCCGTCTCCACTGCTCTCTCTCCCCACTCTGTTTTCTCCTCCTCAGAAAGTGAAAGTGTCCGGAGGAGGTGAAACATCAGTGTCAAAACAATCCCCTCCACATGCAGTCTTTACACATTTCTAAGTTCTATTTTTCGCCATCTTGATAAAAAGTATCTTGTTTTTGCACATTATGCACAACAGCATTTTGCGTCTCTAGCAGTGAATCATGTGGGAAAAAAAAAAACTCAAGTCTGTCTTTCTGCAAAACTTTCTTGACCCTCTGACTCTAGTAAGTAGATCCCGTCTATATTTCAACACTATGGACATTTAGACTAAAAAAAGTTTGATTGAACTATGAATCCATTGAATAATTAAAACATTTTCATACGATTTCATTAAAGAAAGTGAGTTTCAAGGGGCTTCTGCAGGTCCAGGATTTACTTCATTCCCTCTCCTTTGCACAGTTTCCAGGGGCCCCCAAAGGCCTTGTACAGTATATGTAAGGGGTAAACATTAAAATATTCATGTATCAATTAAATCTGTAGAAATTAATCTAATAAATATAACCTGACAAAGCAATTACGGGCTCTTTAAACACCAGGAGTTATTATGAGGATAAATCCTGCAGGGCTTTGGAAGGGTGCTGATTGCATGAGCAGTTCTGAGTGGTGGATGGCAGAATAAGTACTAAAAAGTCTTACAGCCAAACGTATTTGATACATTTAAATACAAGTAGATTATAAAATAATTTAGAGTTAATACAAACAACATTGTGCTACTCGTAGAGTTTAACAGTTCATGTTTTGATTGAGATAATTAGCTTTAAGTGGTCTTTTAATGAGACTTACGGCCTAAATCTATTAGGAACATCATTTGAATTCTACATACTTCACTGTTCACTGATTCGACCATATTGAAATGATTGCTCAGAGGATTAGGGCAATATATACAACATTTCAATGAATCCAATTAAGCAAAAACAAAGAGCTACAATTCACAAGGTTGCATATCATCATAGTCAAATGTTTTCACATTTACAGACCTGGTTGAGTTTCAAAAAGCATTCATAATGTTTAAAGCAAGATATAATCTTCTTCTGGTAAACATCCAAAAATGGTTCATGGATCAAGAAGAAAACTATAATTTGATGGGATTATTTCATTTCAAAACTCTAAGTGTACGGACATCTAGAAATGTTTTTGTGTAACTCTATGGGGTAAATCTGTGGAACACTTTACTCATCGAACTCAAGCAACGTCCAAACATAAAACAGTTTTATGAAAAAGTAAAAGAAAATGATTTTCTAAATCTTCTATTGTCTTTAAACAATAATATATTAATATTTTAATGTGTATACATTGTCAAGGATATGGATGGATGTATATTATGTATTGTAGTTACCTCTTTAAGAACATTCTGTAATCATATATTGTATATCATGTAGGTTCATACGTTCATATTTATAGATAATGATGTAAACTTAAACTTTGATTTCCATATTGTATTATCATCTTTATTTATACTAACATGATAAGCAGGAAGCTGGCTGAGTGGATAGTAAAGTCAAAACGGAGAGGGGGCGGGATTTAATATGTTTTTACTTCTTTCCACTCCTTTTCGGGCATGTCAGTTAAATAGCTTAGTGTCCCACAATTTATTCTGCATTATACTTTCCACTGTTCGTTATTATTATTTACTCTCTGTTTGTTTTTAATGTCAACCTGTGTTGCATGTTAGGAAAAAAAATCTGATCAAATCAAATATATCAGAGATCAAGAAAATGTGCCTTGCTTTAAATCTCTAAAATTGCAAAACTCTGTCATACTGGTTTTAGTGTACAGGGTTACTGTTGACTGACCCTAGAAATGAGGGGAAAAGTCGAGAATATTAATCTAAGAGATGAAACAAGAGTCAAGTAGCGCTTTCCATACAGGGGCCAAAATGACCCCCTTTCCCACGTACAGATCTTACCCTAACGTCTTTATTGTCTTTATTAGGCCTCACACAGACTTAAAGCTTACAGTGTCTCAGAGTATGTTTTTAATATGAAAAAGCCTGTTAAAGTGCCTCCCATGCCCAGGGACACAGTGTCTTTTCAGGGCTCTGAGGTAGTGTAATTGCTCCAGCTCCCGCCCCCCCTGAACCCCAGATCCGTCTTTACAGCTTGCATTAGCATACATAATACTGCTCTGTGGACTCAAAGAGTCATGCCAATTGAAATGCAATCATTCTCACAGCAGAGCACTGCCATCACCACTTTAATTGAGTGTGAGAGGGCTTGCATGTGTGTGTGCTTGGCTGTGTATCATGAGACAGGGGATAATTGCCCCTGCAGTACAACATAGCAATATGTTGTTAATTCAATGATGGGACCTGATTGCTTTGTCTAGTTGTGTCCCCTGGGATGGCTTGTGTGTTCGTGGTGTTTGTAAGAAAACAGAAGGTGTGGGCGATAACTGCTGGGCACATCCCCTCAGACTGTCTGCACTGTCCCAGGTTGTGCACACACACACACACACACACACACACACATACAGTACAATCTGAACTGAGTCCATGAAAAAAACTCAGTTTACAATAAACACGAGAATAACACTTTAGATGTCCCACTGTTCAGTGACCATCAACCCCAATTATCTTATCATTGTCAGTGGATTGCTTTTGTCATAAAACAAAATGGGAAAACCGAGACATGTCCGCATTTTATATCAAAAGAATGTGTTGACTGCCTGTTATATCTCTACAGACCACCTTCGTCCCTGACTGCTGTTTAAGTAACAGCGTGAGGTTGTACAGCGACTTGATTGATGATCAAATACATTGTTACAGCTAAAGATGTCATACTCATAAACACACTGTACAGAGCTACATGGCATTTAACCTTAACCTTTACCATAATATTAACTCCTACCCTAACCCATGACCTCATCATACTAATTCCATCCTCTTTCCATGTGCACATGCGCACATGAAATGCACCATTGATGGTCAAACACTGTCTCCTTTTGACACAAAATGGACAACAAAAGCTCAGAATGAGGAGCTTAAATGACCAATTCACTTAACAGAGCAGTAATTTCCATATAAAGTGGACAAAGCAAATAGCTCTCTAATGAAGATCAGTGTTAGTACGTGTGCCAGCTAATTTCTCTCGATGTCAGCAGAAGCCTGCAGGGGCTTGAGTCATGAGAATGTGCATTATGGAACTGGCTGCTAATTAGCAAAACAGAGACAGAGGGCATTAATCTTAAAGTCTAGTTGTAGACCGTTCAAGTCTAACAAACTCAGCTCTGCTTGCCAAATGTAACGGCTTAATGCTGTGCTGTGGGCTGGAGAGGCACTGAGGGTTAATCTGTGGCTATCCACGACAAAGACTCATTTTATTGTCTCGTTTTAATCCCTCTAACTCCTCGGAATTTAATTACATATTTAGACTAATTGACAAAGGAGCTGAAAGTGAGTTTGTGGTACAGCAGTCATGCTGTCAACACAGTCATGTTGAGTTGCCCTGAAGGTGAACGCAAGTGAAATATTTAGTGGATTGGCTGGAGCTGCTTGAAAGTTTCAAGTCTGAGTTGATGGCCTGTGGTGAAGCAGGCAACAAAAAACAAGGCAGAGGAGCAAACACATTGAGAGCCTGATGAAGTTGTCTGGTGAGGCACTGACACTCTTTGGCCTAGTAGTGTAACTACACTGTGGCTGAATAAGAACAGACTCTTCATCAATCAGCCTCAGAAGTAAGACTTGGTTCCCCTCAGGACATTCAAAACTGAAATTAGGTGAAATGTGTTCATTTATTTAACACACTCCAATGCAACTTTCACACCAAGTGAAAACCTTGATTGCCCATATCATATTAAATTCAACATTCTGGCTTGAGGTTAATAAGCTCAATTTTTCATCTTAATAGCCCACATGCCAACAAAACTAGATAAAAAAGTGGCATATGCTACTTCCACCCTTTGTTAGAAATGCAGCCGTTTTGACTTAAACGATTAAAGGGTAAACAATCATCACAGCAAACTACTGAAGGATTTTTACATGAGACAGATGTTTTAGCTGCATTATGTTATCAGATTGACCACATCCAAAGGTTTTTAATGCATGGCCCATGAACTGCAAAACACACATAGCCTATTGTGACTGGGCAGAACACTGTTGAGATGAAGTAGATAAATAATAACAAAAGAGAAGGTAGAACCATTTTATATCACAAGTCAAAGAGAGACAAAGACAGTGGGTTGATAACAGATTTTTGTATTGTTCAGTATTTAGTTGGCACGTATGGTTATAGCCTACTGTTTGGAAGCATATTACTTATTTATCCAGTATCATAACTACCTTATTGTGCCCTTTGAGTAGACTAATGATTAAAACGGGCACAGAAACAATTCCTGCCTTTCATCTGAATAGTGCTGATAGAGTTAAGCTGGGCCTCACCATGTGTATCTGTAAGCTGCTGGTCTGTGCTCTCCTCCCCCCGCTAGAGGGCGCTGCAACAAAGAAAAAACAATCTTTCACGTCACGTGATCGTCTATCCGCCAAATTTGGATTTGTTTTGGTTGCCTAGAGCTGCTGCTGCTACACGACAAGGCAGGTCCATCAAGTCACGTAGTGGAGTAAGTAATACCGGAAGTTTGGATAATGGAATTTCAAAATCAAAAGTATGTCAATAGCTAAAACACTAGACATATCCCTGTAATACGTTTTAATTTGAAAGGCTTAACCGGAAGTGTCATGTGTTTTACGAATCTTGACGCTAGTGATATCTAAACAGGAGGAAAAACAATTCTCAACAGCGGTAATATGATAACTTTGGCCAATTTACATTAGCTATGAACCTGCAGCGCAAAAACCACGACACTGCTGATAGAGTCGACAAGCTCATGCAGAAATATTTGGAGCGGAAGAAACAGGTTTGACATTAAGTACAACTTTAAACTGTTTCTAGACAAACTTACTTAACGTGTTTTTTACCTGCTGGAGAAACTCACAACCTGGAAAACCTTTCCTTTAGTGGTTTAGTGGGAACGTTATCAATGGCAGCCTGTCATCCTTTAATAAAACAATGTATATGTTTTAGTGGATTTACCGGTCCACATCAGTGGTGGGCAACTGGCGGCCCGGGGGCCACATGCGGCCCCCATCAACCCTCAATGTGGCCCTCAGGTCAATTTTTACATATCAAATAATTGGAAACATGAAGAAAACATGACAAAATCTGCCATGAAAACCAGAAACATGTCCATAATAATATTTGATCACTGGTATATGTTGAGTTAAATTTGAGACATAATTGACTGTAATCGTTTTTTGTATGCTACAATTTGGCCCCCTGGCAGTGAGAGTTAAATGAATGTGGCCCTTGCTGTGAACAAAGTTGCCCATCCCTGCTCCACATGGTTACTAAAGACTGTTTTTTTGCGATGTCTCTTTAGCTGGCTAAGCAACAATTACGCCATTGATAACAGACTGGACTATAGCAGAAACGTCAAACTTAGGCAAATAAACTTACTTGCATGGATTTTAAATACAGGAATACTCTTATGTCAAACTCATGCTAGCTAACTGTAAACATTTGTCATAAGTTAATGTTAGTTTTACCTTGAGTGAATCCTCAATACAATAATGAGCCATAGAAAGCGTGTAAACCTTTCACCTAGCGGTCATGGATGTAGCAGACAAATCACCTTTGCAGAGGACAGTTGTATTACTCAGATATTCTGTTTTAATCACACGAGGAAAGATTCAAGTTTACAGTCTGTTGTTGAGACATGCTACACACTCATACAGTGGGCTAAAATACACACACAGATCACATTGACTGATATGCACTAATGGATGTCAGAGTGAGGCAGGGCACACGAAAGAGGGGGTTCAATGCCATGCTCAGGTGCACTTCAGCAGTGCTCATGAAGACCAGTGTCCAGACTCTTCCCGCAGCGTCACTTAAACCGGTGACCCTCCAGTTCCCAACCCAAGTGGGATAAATAACTGAGCTACTGCTGCCCCAATCTCTAGAACAAGTAAGTAAAGTAATCACTTTTGACAGGTTGATCTAAATCCAGTTGTTTTTGTGATTTTAGTTACCCCTGTCAGAAGACATCAACTCAGGAACCATTAATGGTAAGTACACTTCTCTCAGGGCCCCCAGATGTTCATATTACAACAATGTCTTGATTGACACAATTATTTACATTCACTGTTAGTTCAACTCTGTCTTCCTGTCACTCTGTCTGTCTTTTGGCATCACTGTTTCCTGCAATGTTTTGCAAATTTAAATTGTGCACTGTAATCGACAGATACTAGGGTTTGTCCTAGTTTTAATGAGTGCCACTCATTGGTATAAGCCCAGATATAACTGATAATTAAACATATAGAGACTAAGGGCGTCAGTGGTGCAGTGGGTAGTGTGCTCGCCCCATGTATGGAGGCTATAGTCTTCCAAGCGTGCGGCCCAGGTTTGAATCCAGCTTGTGGCTCCTTTCCCACACGTTGTTCCCCACTCTCTCTCTCTCCCTGATTTCGGACTCTGTCCACTGTCCTACAATAAAGGCACAAAAAGCCCAGAAAAAAAAAAAAACATAGAGACTCTTGAACTAATATGCCTAACTGCTTCACTTTCCCTATCTTAGAGGCTGTACAAAGACTTACGTTTGCGAACAGATCCAAACACCCAATCAAAGAGATGAAATGTTACAGCAAAGCTTTACATGAGCTGTTCAAAGCAGTTAAATACCATCCTGACCAGTAAGTAATGTGAATACTTTAACAAATAGAATTGTTCATGAGGGTGATGATGCTTGTGCCTTGATTATAAGATGTTGTCTTTTCTAAGCTTCAGCAGTGACCGTATTTCACTTGGAAGCGATGAAGACCTCAGCGAGGACTCCATAGCTGGCCAAATCCAGGACTCTCAGGAGCTGCTTACAGAAACAGGTGTGTGTGTGTGTGTGTGTGTGTGTGTGTGTGTGTGTGTGTGTGTGTGTGTGTGTGTGTGTGTGTGTGTGTGTGTGTGTGTGTGTGTGTGTGTGTGTGTGTGTGTGTGTGTGTGTGTGTGTGTGTGTGTGTGTGCTGTGCTTTCCCCACCGTCCATTAGGAACTGACTCTTTTAAGAGTCAGACTGAAATAATATCAAGGTTCCAACTTCAGAAAGAAAATCCTTCAAGGTATTGTCACCTACATGATTGCTTCTTTAAAAACGTTTAACCTTTCTAAAAACAAAAAAGCGTTTTAGAAAATAAGATAGATTTGGGACTATATGTATTAGGCCTGGGTCTGTTGAAGATTGCAATGCTGTTTTGGGTTGCGGTGCCAGGGCCATAGGGTAGGTTTTGTAACTTATCACTAGAATATACAGGCATGACTGGGACAAGGGTGTTCCTCATTAGGGCACAAGTATTGTGTGTTTATTTCAAAGCCTTTTCCTTAAACTGTTATCCCTCTGTTTGTCCAGATGTGACCTTGCCCTCCTGTCTGGATGGTAGCCCTGGGTCCCAGGAAACTGTGAGAAACAACATGTTTCTGAGAGCTTACCAGCTCCCCGACTCAAGTCGCTCCTCTACCTTCGTGCTAGCAGAGGTTTATCAGGAGATGATGACCATCTATGAACAGCTGAGGGTGAGAGAGAGCTGAACCTTGGTAATGAAGGTTGATCAGTGAATCTACTTCTGGGAAACAAAACAAAAAAAGCATTGCACTGAACACCAACTAACATGCAGTAGATTATTGTTTTTGTGTGTATTTTTTCTTCTCAAAATGTAGTCGAGTTTATTAAGTATTGAAATCTTTTTTTTTATTTCTTTTTTATGTGTGTGTAAACAGACTGAGAGACAAGGCCAGCAGCATTGGGAGAGGGAGCTACAGGAGCGAGAGAGGAGGCTGAAGGAACAGGAGGAAGCTTTCAGGAAGATGGCCAGTCTGGAGGAGATGTTACACTCTCGCATACTTGCTGTAAAGGAGGTCAGACACTACATGTAGTCACATTCAACACAAAGGAGTTGTAGTCAATCTCTTTGTTCAACCTAGTCTCCACTCTCTTGATAAAACAATCAGTCATACAGTTATTCCAAAAGTGTGAGCTTATATACCACATTATATATGCTCATCATTCTGCTTCAAAACCTGATGTTGTTCTGCATTTTGTAGGAAACAGGTGTAAACTGTAGGTTGTCATTTCAGACTTTTAATGATCTTGAGACATGTTAATAAACAGATTGATCTCTGACGCTTTTTTTTAAACAAAACCATAGACTGTAAATATTAATGAACAAAGCCTGAGTGATTTCACCCATCTGTTACTACTGTGGAGGTTGATCAGCAGCAGCCTCCATGCAGGAAAACGTATCTCAGCCTAACTTTCAGTCAACTTAATGACAGGCTGACAGCTGGAGCTGAGGTTGGGTTTTAAGCCTCCTGACAAACTGCTACATCGCGCCCACCTGTCCACGGTTAACACGTATCGTCCATAAAATTAAATCGGACACTAGACGAACTGCAGGATTTTTGCTTTTCCGCATTTGCTTCATTTTTCAACACCTGAGGTTGCCGCTTCTTGGAAAGTAAGTTTTTTTTCGCAGTCTGTAAGAAGCAGCACATGAGGGGATGTTGCAATGGACTGACTTCTACAGAAATAAAAACTCAAGTCAGCATAATGTATCACTGAAGTGTTCAAACATTGTCGCTGTGGTTGCACTGGTACTTACACATTCATTATACGTGAACCTGAAAGTTCTTTGTCTCCAGAAACACCAGCAAGAGGTGAGCCAGCTGCAGGAACATCTGCGAGAGAGGAGCAAGGAGAACAAGAGGCTGAAGTCCAGCTTTGACGCCATCAAGGACTTAAATGACAACATGAAGAAACAGGTTCGAGTGTTTACATTTCTGATGCATCTTATTGGTATTTCCAAAATTGGACTACAAATGTTTTAAAGCAAATGGCTGATGTGTTTTAGTTTCATCTAATCAAAAGTTAATTATTACTTGAAGTCTTAATTGTATCATCATTATGAGCTTAATGACTTGCTTTAGTGCTGAACTTAATGCACTTTTTGTTTGCTTTGAGAAGATATTTAAAATATTGAGTCTTGAGTGACCAAGCATGATGTCTACACAATGTTCCAACAATCACACAACATTTCACTTGAGTTTTATATCTCAAGAAATGAAGTGTCCAAACAAATCCTCCAATTCATTTTGGTTTGAGAAGGAGCAAACAGTTATTACTGTTGACCACATGAGGGCGCTGTGACATAACAACAGTGTGCCAGAAAATAATCCCCTTTTTTTTTTGTCTGCAAGGAATTAAGGATTTAGGAACATTTGTTTAAACAATGGACTTCACAGCAGATTAACATGGAAAGTTTTGAAATCAACAGTTGCAAGAGATCAGTGAACAAAATCAGAAGTTGGAGAGTCAGTCTAAGAGGGTGCAGGCTCGACTTGACAACCTTCAGGTGAGGACATTTGACCACAGATCCTGATTGTGTTATTTTATGACTAGTGTCAAGCGAATTCTCCAAAATTGTTTGATATCTTCAAACCTATTTCATATGGACATTTATTGATTGATTTCAGAGGAAATATGAGCACAGCATAGCACCAAGAGGATGTCAGAAAGCAAATGTGAAGAGCACAGAGTACATGAAACCATCCAGAAAGGAGAAAACTGCTGCCTCTGGAAAACCCAGCTACAAGGTATTTAAACCACCCTGTGCCTGTGTTGTTGTTTGTTGCAGTGTAATTTACTATAAATACGTCAGTTTGCTGTAGTTAAGATTTCATTGCCTCATTTACTTCTAATGTGTTTGTTTATAAATAGTCTGCACATCATTTAGCATTGTTAGACACACTCATTTACACACATCCACTCCTGCCAATCATCACTTTTGTTAAACATGAATCATCAGTGGACAAAGTTGAGCTGCACTTTTCCTTTTAAGGATGATTTTTCTCTTTCCTGATTCGGTGATTGAGTGAGCCAAACCTTTTCGTTCCATAACCATTTGATTTCACAGTGTTATCAACACCTTTAGGCTCCACAGTGAAATCCCAGTTCTAATGTGATGTTCACACTTTTCTGAATATACCTGTAGTTGGAATGGCTGAATTTCAATCATGTACCTCGATTAATTCTAGGCACATTTCTTCAAATCTTGACTTTTTTTTTTGGATCCCTTAGGCGCAGAATTCAGATCAAGATGTGACACTGACAGACAAAGTGTGTTGAGATAAAAGTAAACCCTTGCATATTTTGACCCTCCTTACTTTCAGGGCAGCTACGGTCACACGTCAACAAAGCTGCTTGCCCTTCTGCTGGACTGGGTACTTGATGGACAGACATTCTCTTTAGCAGTGGGAAACAAAGGGAAAGGTGTCGACCGGTGTCTGCCTCCACAGGTTGTGCTCAACGAGAGATGCCTTAAGGTAGTAGAGTCATCCAGTGATTACGAAAGTGACCACAAAAATAGCATTAAAACAAGACTCATTATAAATGTTATGTTGTGATCAAAGTAATGAATTCTTTTTATGTTCCTCAGGGGCTGCCTTTATTAGCAGATCAGCTTCATCACACTCCTCCATCAGAAGCTGAACTCCTCCTCAACCTCCTGCGTCTCATCCACTGGGCTTTGAGGCACATGGACAGAAGTCCACTGGTAAAGATATGATACTATTATTCATGCAGCAAGGGATGAAGGATACACCAAAGAGCATACAGTATGATAACAGTAAGAGTAGAATACATCTGTTGTGAGCCTTGTCTTTGTAGGTTTCACAGAAGCTTCCTAAAAATATCTGGATTTAAGGATGCATCGGAGATAATGCTGATTAAGGAGAAGTGTGTGTAATGTTACCATCTATGTCATTTGATCTTACAGTATATTTTGCTGAAAACAAAATAGTCGTATTGCATAATATTTAGGTTGCTCCCTTTTAAAAATGTTGATACGTTTTGTATGTAAACTTCTGGTCGCCCACATTACAGCCAGAGGCAGCGTTTAATGAAAAGAAAATACATTTTATCAGGGGAAAATGTTTTTGGATATTTGCCATTTTTAGCAGCATCTACTTTGCCTTGTTGTAAATTTCTTGTGATTTAAAAACAACCACACAAGGGAGTGAGCTTATGTCGTGTGTAAAAATGAAATGAATTCTGTGACCTGCACCCACCTTAGTAATTGGTGTTTGGGCTTGTTTATAAAAGAAAGCTCCTTGGTTGCTTTCACATCATTATGCAGAAGAATTAAAAAAAGACACACTTGCACTTTAGCAAGACACACATTGCTACACATCCGAGGAATGCACATTCTTTTCATGCAGGGGATATCCACTCTGTTGCTTAATTTCCTTTCACAGCACTGCAGGTTTTTAAGGTTTAGATCCAGCTCATTGCCAGCCTTCCAGATCCCTACCATGAGCTGTGCCCCGGCTTTGACCACTTGCCCCTGGCCCGCAATTTTCTATCTCCCGCCTCCTCTTCTCCAGTCCGGCTAAAGGGGGCCTGCCAAATCGATTTATTGGCCACATCAGTTATTTGGAGAAGCCTTCCGGCTCCCTGTCAGACTGACCTTGTGTCTTCTACACTGATGTTTGATGAAGATCGTTGTAGGCATATCAGGATTCTTCACAGTTACATAACAGAACTAACTGAGTGCAGCCACAGTTATAAATGTTGAGCAATAAGAAGTTTATGTGAGTGTGTGTCTATGTGTGTTTTTCACAGCATGTAGCACTGTCTGCCACTCTGCGGCGGATAGGAGAGCAAGTGTCAAAGCCGCCAGGTCAGTTCACTGTGTCGGACTCTGACGATCCAGACCTGCCCAAGTCCTGCAGTGTGACTGCAACTGGACCGAACAGGGGTTGGCCCCTTTACTGCAGCCCCTGTCCCCACACACGCATCCTCTCAGCCCTCATCGTCCTCCGCACTGTAACACAAGGTATCAATACTGATCACACATGTGCATACAGTATCTGACAATACAACAAAGATTTTTAACTATTGACTTTAAACAGCATACAGGGGTTTGACGTAACGAATTATGTAGTACTGCCATTATTTAATTATTGATAATTGTTTTTTGATCCACGCTGCACTGGGTCAGTAAAGTGAAAAAAGAGCCCGAGATCCAGCCAACAATCCCAAACGTTAAGTATTTATAAGTTAACTTAACTTAAAACTGAAGGAAGCAATTCATGCCACATTTTCAAAACAGGATATCTCCAAATGATTTGCAAATTTAAATGTTGGGACCTGAGCTTCCACAGATGGCATAGTTCATCTCCTGTGATGGGAAACCATAGATCTCTGACGTATTTCATTTATCTACGTCCAGCTTCCAGGACTGAATAGAAGCAATTAAGAGAGAGATGTTTTTATTTTCTAAGAGAAGACAGCTGACATTAAGCAGTAACAGAACAGTTCAAACCCATTAAGAGAGGGAAAGAGAAATCATCGAAGGAAAAATTGAATTCAAAATATAATATGTTCTCTCGCTCCTTTGTACTGAGCCAAATCGGCTCTACAAAGGCTAATAAGGAATACTTAAAAAAAAAAAGTTTATTAAAAAGTGTCTTTCAGAGGTCGTGGTCCTCCAAGCGGACGGCTCGGGTTCAAATCCAGCCTGTGGCTTCTTTCCCGCATGTCATTCCCCACTGTCTCTCGCTATCCCAGTTTCTGACTCTATCTACTGTCCTATCAAGACCAAAAATTAACCTTAAATTGTTTTATCCGAAATCAGATAATTGAAAAAGAGAAGTTCTCTGTTTAACACATTAAAGATGTAAGAATGTAGAAGAAGCCTTATTGAAGTTGTCGGTCAGAAACATCATCAGCTTTAGACATCCAGAGAGGTACATGTGTTGTTCATTATCACCTCCCTCTGTGCTAGCATTTCACCTGTGTAGGTGTGAATACATGAAAACAGCAGGAAAGTAATACATGGGACATACTGTACAAAGTATGCTGTGTTAACTTTTTTCACACTTTGAATCTACTATTAGAAATCCAAGCTGCTTTCTGAAACACTGATGACTCTCTATGACTGGAACAAATGACACGCTCAGTAAGAGGACAGAATACACAGATTCTTAATCGCTGGGTCAGGATGTGGGAGCACTTTTGTTTACATTTTCCCTGACAAAGTTAAGCTGTAGCACATTAGTCAAATATGACAAGGCAGGTTTATTTATAATGCACATTTCAGGAACAAGGCAATTCAAAGTGCTTCACACAGGACGTCAAAAGCAACATGACAGAGGGAGAAAGAATCATTGAACTAGAACATTTAAAAATAACTAAAACAAACACTTAACAATCACAGAGAAGATTCAATCTTGAAATATGATTAAAATAAATAGTTCATTAAAATGAAATTGATTGAAAGAAAAAAAAACATCAAAAACAGAAGTTGGAATATAAAAAATAATTTAATAAAAATAAGAGTTAAAAGTTACAGTGTAGAGTTATAGTTTAAAATCTTGTATGCAACTAGTTTTGAATCTAATTTGTATGTTGGTAAATGTCATTATGGTAAAATGCTAAACTGGGGTCTCCCCACCTTACCTGGAATAAACAGCACCTGTGCTAACACAGTTTTGTAAATATGATCTTCTGGGTAATCTGCACTGTTAATACATCACACAACAAACAGTGCACATTTTATGAATTAAGTAACTTTATTCACATGAAGGTCGAGGTGCACCACAAGTTTGCAGTCCAGAGAAGCACATAGCAGTGATGGGGAGAAAAGAAATGTTTATACAAGTTTGGAAAAGTCTTGACAAACATCCTAATCAGTCTCAATGAGGAGCTGATGTGTGAGGAAAAAAAACCTCTGTGCTGCAGCTCGGAAAAAAAAAGTGTTTGATTATCAGCAGTTGCACATGTTAAACCTGACAGAGTCTGCATCGAGGAGAAGTCAGTTTACAAGCTTTCCTGGGGGAAACTGTGTACACTAAGGTTTTAAATATGGTCAACTCTCCTTGCTTGACATTATCATGTTAGTAATACCATTAAAGAAATGTTGGTGTTACAGCCGCGATCAAAACCAGTATATGTCGATCTTACTGTTCTGTTTTCTTTCCACAGCTCATTAGCCTCACAGAGCAGCCAGCGTGGCTTTAGGTTCTTAGTCTGACTCTCATTCAAATATTTGAAAAGGGCAAAAAGCTTTCAGCTACGTCCAAATCCTGGCTTCCACACTATAAATCTTGGTGCTCTCAGTGTGTGCAGCCTATATATCCTGACATATGTTGTGAAACTTACCTCTGAGTCAACCTTCCATCTGCTCTTTTATGCTCCAGGGCTCTCAGTATGTCTCTATAGACTATTCTCTGTCAATGTGCTCCCCAGGTTTGCTTTCTTTCTTTCTCTGGATTGACGGGAAACCAGATTGAGTATAATGGAGAGATGCTTCATTCCCTCATACTTGCTGGACTTTTTTTTTTACACATAATAGATACCATTCTGGAAGGAGCTAACCGAACTCAGTCCAAAATCATAAAGAAAGCTTTTATCCCATGTCAGGTTGTGTAAATCCAGCACTGCTGGACATTTGTTAAGAATTTTCTCAGAACTTCAGAGACTCTCAGAACTATCTGAGGTGATCACTGATCGTATGTTTGAGATGTCAGGCAGAAAGGGTTCTGGACTCTGAAAGTGATTGCAGAGGGATGGCAGGCTGTAATACCGAGGTACATTGATGGAGATAGAAAAAAGAAAGAAAGGAAACACTGCTTGAATAATGGCAATACAATAAAAAGGCGTAGATAAAAGACCAGATTTGTTCAAATTTGGGTAAAGTTTCAAATTAGAATTTTATATTTTAGCTTGTATTTTAATAATAGTGCTTTATGATATAAGGTTAATTAATGGATTAATCCGGCATTAACCCAGACACACTTGAAGTTACCTTTGAGAACAGAATGAGGACCAAACTAAAAATGCTTTTGATCTTTGAAGGCTATCCTTTGAGCAGTGTTTTTAATGGACTCAGAAGCTCCTTCAGTGAGCGACTAGTGATGTCTTAGTGTTTTACTGAACGACTTAGAAGGTCCTTTGTTCCAGCAGCTGTCACATATTTTATTGAACATTTTGAGTTGTGGATTTAATTCATGGCTCTAAATTATATCTTAAATAGTTTCAAAGGTGTGTGTTGTTTATTGACTTGTTGTGTACTGTGATTGTACTGTCCATATTGTTTGTAGTGTATGAATTGATCATGTGGCAAATGAGTTTCCCTGCTGGGGATTAATAAAGGTTTCCAATCTAATCTAATAATACCTGCCTAAGAGTCAAAGACTAAATGTCAGGATAAGTTATTTGTATGTTATCTACATTATGTCTTTCTGTCCTGTCTGCAGCTGATGTTCTGGCCCTGGCTCTGGACTCTCTCCACACGGAGCTGATGTCTGAGGACAGTCGAGGCCTTTTCATCCACTATGAAGGAGTGTGTGTGCTGATGTCCATGCTTCGGGCTGGTCGTGGAAGTCTACACACACCTGTTGATATCCTGATGGAGCTAACTCAACAGTCCTGTAAGAAAGCTTACTTATTACTCACGGTCTTACTTATAAGTAATTATTTCCATAGATTTCACACCAAAGCCAATATATGTGTGGAGTATCCATATACTGGACTTAATTGTATCATTCAACTACATTTAAAAGATTAACTAAATGCATTGAGTGCATCTTTCATACTCAATGTAGTTTGATGGTTATGATGGAACATTAACTGGTTTCTGGCTGGCTGTGAAATCTCATGAACATAAACACACCAAGGTTAAAATGTCTATTTTGACAGCAGAAATAAACATGCTTTCAGCCTGGTTCAAAAAAAAATTTGGTCTGAATAGTGAATAGTGCCATAGGCACACACTGTACAATTTTTTTTACCAGTCATCCTTTTTGATGGTATTAAGGATAAGAGTTATGCATAATTAGGGGCATGACTGACATGACTGCAAGCAGGCGCTTTGTATCTGCTTGCCAGGACTCCTCAACTCCACCTGTTTCTAGGTTGACTCAAAGTTTAGTTAAGACTGCATTTTCAATAAGGCCTCGCCATCATTGGGCTTCAAGACTCCCCATCAGTAAATTCTGTTCTGACCACTCATCTGCTTTTAAACTGAAGGTCACACCTACTCATTTACACCACATTCACACACTGTTGTCAGAGGCTGCCTGCTATGTAAAGTGACCATCAGAAGTAACTAATCCCATTCATACACATTCATACACCGCCAACGATCCAGCAAGAGCACCTCAGGTTTAATTATCTTACCCAATGACACATCGGATATGTGGCTGCAGGAGCAAGGGTTCGAACCCCAAACCCTCTGACCGACTCTAACAACTGAGCCACAGCCACCGCTTGTAACCAATAGGTGACATTACTGAGACATAGTTTTATACACTCTATGTGTCAGACATGTATAATTACAAGCACACTCCCAAAACAGCCTTGGTTTGCAATTTTCACAGCAAATACTTACATTATGTGGACGATTGTTAAAAGACAGCGGGATGAGATTTGTTGTCACCAACACATGTACAGGACAAGCTCACCAAAGAAATACTGTAAGACCACCACTTAGTACCACTTAGAGGGGCCAAGAAGATTGACATACATGAAATGCACCTCACAGTAGCTTTAAGCAATCAGTTTGGTACATTTTGGTAATTTTTAGCACTGAGGTGCACTTCAGAATGGCAAACTATTATCTGAATGAACGAATCCACTTGAGCACTCAACACTCTAAAAGCTTCTACATGTGACTTTGTGTAGGAAATTGTTCATGGTTGAGATAGCCTTGAAAGAAGCTGTGATCGCTCTTCTTGCTCAGATTTATAGTCTGTCTTTTCTATCACTATTTACTTTGATTTATAGCAGCTCCTCCTGCGGTATCCCCTCCATATCATCCTCCCACAAAAACCACATGTGATAGGTAACGGGTTTCCCTGAGCTCGCATCAATCACACACAAAGGTCAGGAATTAGATCTGGAAATGATGGTCATAAAACCTTGGACCTCCACCACCTCCTGTCTCGTTTATAGAAAGACAAAAGACTGACCAACAGCTGCAATGTGTTAACACAGGAGGGCCAGTTCGGCAGGGTTATGAGCCATGTCATTTAGGCTTGGTGTATGCTTACATACAGCAGAGACATAGACCAGACGACCGGAGCTGGAACTGTGTGTACGCACAGTTGTGCGTTTGAAGGGGGCTGTAAATCTAGCAAGACTTGCTAATTACTATGTTTTACAAGCCGTAATGAGGGGAGGGAATGAGGACCAGGGGGAGAAAGGTTTACACCGAACGCTGCCAGTAAAACAAAATAAGTTCTAGTTGTACCCGAAACACAAAAGTACATATATGACATCTGTGGACATACAGCAACAAGAGGCTGCTTTTCTTAAGTTAAGTCACATGTGCTACCTGTGACCAAACACTATTTGTTGAATCAACTTTCATGGATAAAAAAAAAAAAAAATGCAATCGGCCGACTCAGTACACCCAAGACCCTCACAAACAGTGTTGGTGTCTGTGGCTCAGGTCTGTTGTTGGATGATGTCATACTAAAAATTCACTACTTCAGACATTCTTTATTGTTGCAAACAAAAGCAGAGGTATAGTTTTTAAGATCCCACAGTGTAAAACAATAAATTCAGGTCCCCCCTGAACTGGTTAAAATGACGATGATCAATTTCCCCCCTTTGACCTACAGTATGTCACCTTTCAAACATATAGTCCAATTGATAATTTAAACCAAAACACCACCTCAAAATCTTTGTGAACAGAAGGAGTCATGTTAAAATACAGGACAGGTAAGGCATTCAAAGCCGTCTCCAGCTCCTCTGAGCAGCTACCAAACATTGTTTGTTTGGTGTAATGTCTGTTTAAAACATGATTACGTTTATTAGGATTTAGTTTCCATTCACATTCACGCGTTGCTCAATGATTGGTGCTTCGTCACAACCCTTGGTGTCTCAAAGAAAATCACAAGTCACCGACACACCTGGTCTTCGACTTACTTTAATGTTAACCCTCTACGTGGCAACATTAGATGCTCATAGCAACTGATCTCAGTGATGTAACAGACAGACGGATAAAGCCTGCTCATGGTGGCTTGTGTGGGTGATGACCAAAAATCCATGTTAAAAAACGTTAAGTTCACCCTGTTATGTTTCTTTCCAAATGTTATATTGCAGTTTCCCTTAAGCCATATTTCTTAAACCTTGGTGCTACAGCAGCTACCCTGTTTGCCTGAATGGGACACCAAAGGGAAGTCACAGAGTGTCAGTATTTGAAGACCTGGGATGAAAAGGCTCGTTCATGCCTTATCCACACTAGTTTTATAATCGGTTTTATAACCTTGGGGTAAGGTGATGATATGCCTGGGAAAAGAATGATCAACTATAGTATCCTGCCTTTGACCTCTCACATGCTCAGATTGTACCCGTCTTATCCTTTCTGATCTAAACCTGATCCTGTTCTTCTCCGGCCAATCTTCTGCTGTGATTTGATGCCAGCGTAAACTCCGTACCAGCCAAAAGAGTCCCTCCGTGGCTCCGATTGTATTCCCTCACCCTTGTGCGTGGTCTAAGCCAGTGGTGAGTTAGTTTTTTGAAGCAGCAGGAATGTGGCTTTAGCAGAAACAAATGTTTTGTTTACTAGGAGGCCGACTAATTTTAGGATTTCATAAGGTCCACATTTGTTTTCTATTGATTTAAAGAATATGCAGTCGCCATCTGTGTGTATTGATGCTGTTGCCATCTCTGTGTTTCATATGTGTTTGTGTGAGAGGTTTGTGTTTGATAAAAGGAAGGTCAGAGTTAAGAGTGACAATATGGAAGCTCTTTCAATTACAATCTTCAGAGTATCTCTGAGCAGCATCTGTAGCGCTGTCGAGCTCGGTTTGACTGTTAAGTGTTTTCGTGGTCTGTTCTTTCCATCCATGTAGTTTTAATTTCTATGCAAATCTGGAAAATATGGCTAAGTGAAGTTTGATAATTCCCATCCCTTCCAAAGTTGTCACATTGAACAGAAATGTGTTGTTTATTACAGGAATTGTTTTGATAATATCCTGCCCCTCTGCTCTGCTTGTGTTTGTTTGCTCACAGGCTACTTAAACCTCTTCCTGGAAGCATGTAGCTGTGAGGAGTTTTTCCACACAACCTCCAAGATTCTCAAGAACCCTCGTTTGGAGCTCCCGTCGCTGGAGAAGCTCTCCATCCTTCTGCAAAAGCTCTCCAGCATCAGGTAGACACAGTGCACAAGCATCAACATTTCTGTATTCAGGTTGCTAGTTCAGTGCGGTTGGCAGAGCAGGCGTCCCAAGTTCAGAGGGAAAGTTCTTGATACACTGGTCGCTGGTTTCGACTCCCGGCCTGTGATTATTTGTTACACGTCATCCCCCACTCTTTTCCCACCACTTCTCCTGTCTCTCTTTAGCTGTCCTATCTAATTCAAGGTAAAAAAAAAAAAAAAAAAAAAAAAAAGGGTTTTATATTTCAGAGGTGAAATAGTTCTGCCCACTAGTCGATCAATAACATTTTTGGTAAGTTTCCATTAGTCAGGTGGTTTTGGAACAAATGACTGGTGGTGGAGCTGGTGTTTATCTGTTTGTCTGTGCGCCTTTTAAACATTTCTCTCGTGTTCCTAGCTGACTTTCCTCTTTAAGGACAAGTACCACAGAAGCAGTGAAGCCTATTTTCCAATTGGTTAAGTTACAGTGTTCAATAGATACAGATAAGCTCAGGCTCAACTACAGTAGTTCTTAATATGGCTGCGTTTTGTGTTTGTTGCACTACACTAGTTGCGAGCTACATTACTCTGAACAACGATACACAGGTAAGTGCTGGAAGGAACAGTGTATACTGGTTTTTAGTCTCCTTGCTGGGTTTGCAGACATATTCAGAAGCATTACTTCTTTTGCTGTTAGTGGCAAACTTGAGTGTGTACTACAGAATTCATGTTTAATTTTTTTTTGTTATAATTAAGATTTTTTATATAGCACAGTGTTATCATCAGTGTTACGTATAACATTTGTTTTCAGTCAAACTGTTTTCTGTCCAAATTTAGATCATTAAATTAATGTCATAAATGTGTGAAAATTTGTCGACCATAGGAACATTAACAACTATTAGACTTGGAAAAACTGAAACATTTAACCATGCAATTGTGTGCTTACTTATGCGTTCTTTATTGCATCTTAAATGAAAAACTTTCAGTGAAAAGAAAACAAAAAGTCAATTTTTATTAGATGTTAAAAGTCTATCTATATTTCTCTGCTTTTATCCAGGAAGAACCGTCGTCTGTTTGAACTTTCCTCCCTCCACCTTCAGATACAAGAACTTTATCACAACACCAACCACACTCACACCTTCCTCCGCCTGAACCTCAGGTCCATCATCTACAACCTTCAATAACCCCAAGGGCTCTAAAATAAAACAGGCTTCCCAGGTGGGGTAAACAGTCACCTGCTTTGTATTTCAGTAACTCATGATTTGCCTTCTCTTTCAGCTGTGCGCAAAATACCATCCCCATAATTCTGATTATCAACGCTCCGTCCTGCTCTACCTCAAATAACATATTCAAACTCACATTCTTAATTATATGGTGACATGTTTTTGTTGTCCTTTTGTCTTTGTGTTTTGACTTCGTGACCTTCTTTGTGAAGACAATCTGATGCCTTGTCGTCCGTTCTTTCAATGATCAAACCTTTGTGTCATTCCTTCCAGTGTTCTTAATGGGTGTCTCATGTGCACTGAGGAAGCGAGGTGACAGTCAAACTTTTGAATTACAATAAACAAAACTATTTCAAGGTTATATATCAAGATGTGATATGCTTATGAGATGCTGGAATCCATATGTTTTTTATAAATGTGTCTTATTTGTTGGTTCCACAGCATGGGTGGGTTGATGGGAGTAATGGTCTCAGCATGGGACACACTGCTGGTGTTGGTTGATGGAGGAGATTGGAAGGACTGGAACAATTACAGCAGATATTTAAAACACGCTTGTTGAAAATCACTTGGAAATGCTTGGCTGGTTTGAATTTCAAAGGACTGAATTGAGTATTTTTAAGGCTTCCAAATTCCTAAATGTTCACGCAACGGTTCAATGATAGTGATGAGAGAATTTTGCTGGATTATTGTGTCCATGGATCTTATAATAGAATATAGAACATGGTAAACATGTAGACTGCTTGTCTATGCATGGTCCTTAAATTGATTTAAACTGCAGAGAGAGTGGGGAACAACATGTGGGAAAGGAGCCACAGGTCTGATTCAAACCCGGGCCTTCCAACTTTTGAGGGCTTAGCCTCTGTACATTTTCATTTCATTTTCATTTATTTCATTTATTAGGGGACAGTGTGCAATGACATTGATCATTGATACAAATAAAAATGAAAAGATGGTTGCACCAGAATTAGCGAGTCGCTTATTTCCATCTGTAGTCCCACATAAAAATAAAGCAAGAAAAACAATGACACTCCACTCAACAGAGGACAATAAAGAAACACACCTGACAACACCACATAATAAAATGCTATAAACACTGTGGAACACAATAAGTATATCCGGCTCAGTGTCCAGTCTTAAAACAAAATCATATCAAATATACAATAAATATGTTGGATTGCATATATGGGGGCCTTATAATAAATAACAGGAGGACAGTAATACACACTGCATGATGGGACAATTTAATACACAATAGCTACATTATAAAGTGAATTAGATATTAAGTAGATATTTGTAGGTTCCTTACTCAATAAAAACCTGAAGTGCAAACTTGGGGCAGGCACAATAATCGCTAGGCAACCAGTGCCACGTCATTTAAATGATTTTCAGAATGAGAAAAGCCTCCTGAGACACTTTCTTGCATATTCTTTCATCAACTACTGGGTGCATACCCAAAAAAGGAAAATCTGTTAAACAACAGCCATGACATGAAATCTTTGTTACAAAGTTAACATAAGAGGTAAGAACAACTTCCTTTCAAAAAGGAAAGGGATCTTTAATACTCTAACCTAACTTATGCAGCTACTCCTGTGTTTGGTTCAAGGCCTTTTCTTGGATGCATTAATCATAACATATTTCATCCAAAAAATGATGCCCTGCTGGGACTGTATTAAACCGTACACAAAAAAAATCTCATTAGCAGCATCATGCATAAGATCAAGCTAAAATACTCAAATGCATTCACTTTATATTTACATGAGAACTTTTTTTTTTAAAGCTGTTTGGAAGCTTCTGGATCACACAGCCATAGTTGAGCTGGCATTGAGGTTCAGTCTTGAGCTGGAGCCTATAGTTTATCCCATTTAATGATATGGAATGTTAATACTCTAAATGACTTTGGTTTCCAACCACTTCTCTTATTAAGTGGTAAGAGCCAGAGCACATCCAAGAACAATGTTAAAGTTCTATTTATATAGAAACTGACTGGGAAACGTTTCTTTAATGGCACTTTAAAAAATGATTGCGCTGTTGTAAATAAGTAGTAAAATGTGAAACCTAACTGGAGGTCGGGCTTTAATGCAGGGGCAGAGATATAAGAGACCCAAACAGAAAAATCCCCCTCCATCCTACTGAGCTTAGCAACTTTTCTTCTTGCTTACATTTTTACAAGTGCAACAACTTTCAACAGCCAGATGCAAAGCATTTTGCAGCCCTTTTGTGGCATTATAAGGAAGAAAACATTTACATTTTCTTTCCCATTGTTACTGACTTTGTTATATATGCATTATATCAATGTGAAAACATCCGGCGTTATGATCAACGCTGGCTGGGACGTATTTCTTGGGCCACGTGAAGTCTTTGACCACTACTTTTTATAAGCCACCCAGGGTACATGTGCGAGGCCAATTCAGAGATCAAACATCTGTTTTTCTTCTGTCACTTCAAGGCAGATGCTCTGTGCATCATAAGATCTCACTCTGGCAAGATCATCATATTTTCATTGACTCTTTCTTCAGCATTCTTTCTATAGTCGTAGTCGTATCTTTCTATCTTTTTAATAGGAAAAACTTTAGTTTGGAGCTTTGACCTGACAGAGGTTTGTAGTTTCCATCGTTAAAGGAAAGCTGTCATCAATTTGATGTGATTGAGTTCCAAAGATTTCAACAGCTCCTACACAGCCACAAAAAACGAAAATTCGAACATTAGAAATAGAGCCGACTTGTTGGCCATCCGATAAAAAAAAGGCAGATATTGGCATATCCAGTGACTATCAGTATCGGCTAATTTCTAATTTTATCTTAAATCTGCCTATCTGCCCCGCACAGCATCACCCACACAGCTTTAAGCACTGATTTTGATTTATGTTTGGGGTTTTTCCAGATCAAAGAAACATACTGGCAGATATATCGGTTTCTGATTTTTTTCTTTCCCCAATATCTATGTCGGTATCGGCTCCAAAAATCCTGTATCGGTCAGGCCATGATTAGAAATATCTCTTAGAAGATGTGACTAAAGATTGGGTTATAAAGTCAGCCATTGACTTGGTTTTTCTTCTGCTCAGGTGTTCATCACATACAGTCAAAAGTTCTGGGAGAAAGCTTGTTAAATAACTTTGAGTTTATAATGTTTTATCCCATTTTTATTTGCATGGTTAAGACTGAACCACCATCCCTATGGTCAAGTAAGGAACACATAAGGAATCTGAATAACGGAGGGCAAAAGCAGTGTATTTTGGATCAGACTTGAATACACTGAGCATATGGATTCAAATTTTCTAAAGGATATGTTTGATAATCTGATGGATTGAAGTGCAATTTCACTTTATCATGGCTTTATTGCCTTTATGCATACTACAGGAAACTATCAGCCCTGATTTATTTACTTTCATGACTTCAGTTCTGTCTGACCTGCACTGCGCTGCAGTCGGCATAACGGCTTAAATCTGCCAATCTGCCCTGTACAGCATCACCCACACAGCTTTAAACACTGATCTTGATTTATGTTTAGGGTTTTTCAGTGGACCAAAAATTCCGAAAATTACCCAAAGAGTGGCCCTGCTCTGGTCTCGCTGGTAAACCTCATTAAAATGTTATTTGGTATGTTGGAGGAGGCTGGCAGGGGGGAAACATTAGTGGTTCCACTTCAGCACAACCATAAAGTCAAGTCAATCAGTGATTTGACATGGCAGACCACCAAATGTAAATTATCTCCACCAGCCGCGTTATGCATAAATATGCTGCTTGAGTAACGCAATAAGCACATGCAGGATCTGGTAATATACCTGACTGTAAATGGGGGAGTGTGTAAAGGAGTTGTGAGTGGAAGCAGCTGTCAGGGGATATTTATGGTATAGGCAGGAAGGCTTCATACTTCCAACTTTCCTGTTTGTTTTAACTTCTTTTATTCGGCTTTTCCCTCATTATCGTGGACTAAGAGGCTTACATCTGATGATTGAATGATTGTATTTGCTAAATGAAGTGTCAATCCTGATCTACTAGCAGTATTTGTTTCAAAACTTGGTGTGTCTCCAAATTCGTGGGATTTCCTTTCCGAATTGCCCACAGATGTTCGTATTTGGTAATAAATTGTTTTTGTCAAACCACCTATTTTATCTCTATGAAAATAACTTATTTAAGGAAATTCAATGTTGACTGGTACTTTGCCATTGTTTTAGAGAGTTTATTGTCCATTTAACAGCTTTCAGATTAACATTTTATCAAACAAAGTTCACAGAATAGCAGAACTATTCTAACTTTATGTCGTTTGTGTCCTTAGCGTGGGTTAAAAAACAACATGCTTGATATTTTAGGGAAACTTGCTTATATACAGCCTTTGTTTATTTGAATAGAAGATCAATAAGACTTGTGTCTGTGCATTACACTAGCTAAGTGCTAAACACAGCTTCTAATTATCATAGGTTAGCATACAGAGTAAAAGCCCAGGGGAACGGCTAACAGCTCAGTTCAAAGTCCAATAATTGCCCTTTGAAGCTCCCTGATTGATATAATGTATCTTGTTTGTTGGATTTTAACACCCGGACAAACAAAAAACGTCATCTTTTCCTATTCCAGGAGGAACTACTTGTTACTCTCAAGCTTACCCCAGTCTTCATGCTAAGCTAACCTTACTCCAGCTGTAAATGTATCTCAGAGTAATGAGACTGATAATAGTCCTGTTAAACTCTCAGTAAGTAACTGAGAGACATTTTCCAAAATTACAACCATTCCTTTTGGGTTTCGTAGACCCTCCGTATAAAACAGGCACATAAATGGTAAATGGACTTGAGCATTTGTACGTTTCTAGTTTTCTGACTAAGTGCCCTTTTCACCGTAGGTCACACTTTTCACATTCACACACCGATGGCAGATGCTAATAAGTAAAGTGTCCATCAGTATAAACTTATCCAGTTATACACATTCAATTTGGGGTTGAGTGCCCAAATACTTAGACAAGTATAGGAGCTGGGGATCGAACCCCCAACCTCCCGGTTAAGAGACGACCAACTACATCTCAGACTGATAATACCAGAGCAGCAGCCACCCTGAGATGTAGTCTTAGTGACAGAGGTGTTTATAAAGCCGAACAATGGCAGTCACCATATTGGAAATGCTATCTCATTCCAAACCTAACTTTCAATCAATCAGGAAAAGAGGTAGAAACGAGATGGGCCATAAGCCTTCTGGCAAACAGCCAGAACCTAGGTGCAAATCAACCACTCTTTATTTTTTTTTATTTATTGGGCTTTTGCCTTTCATATGGATAGGATAGCTGTAGAGTTACAGGGAATGTGGGGAGAGAGAACGGGGGATGACAGGCAACATCAGGATCAGGAGTCAAACCTGAGCGTAGTTCTGCCTCTGTACACGGGGCGCCTTCTCCACCAACAGAGCTGAATTAGCGCCCTGGAGTCTTTGTTTTATAACAAATGCGACAGTGTTACTTTAAGTCCCTCAGTCTTGAAATGTCCTGCAGTTCAAACACAGTTAATCCTGGACCAGACAAACACATGTTCTGACCCGGACTATAGTTACATAAAACACATCTGGGCGGTACTTGTCTGTTGCCGTTTGATGTGTTCGCAGATGACTGACAGTGATGAGAAGTTGTTGTGTGCAGGTGAAGGTGTTACTGCCTGCCAGATGTTTAATTAGTCTCATGGTTGGCACTCCTTGCCCCGAAGTGGATCTTCTACAGCTTCATGCTCCTCATTTAAAGTCAAGCAAAGCGCTTTAAACGCAAAAACAGACCCTGAGGACACAAAGACACACCTCTGAATACACGTGCGTACCCACTTAATGTGTGTTTGTTTTTACACTGAATGGCTTTTCAATTGGGTTGGATTACTTGTGGGCAAACTTTGAGTGTTTGAAACATGATGAGAGAAAGACCTGAATGCTGGCCCGATGCCCCTGAGCAGCATCACTGGCTTTTCCAGTGCCAGGTAGACCTTCTGTGAACCTGGACTTAGATCCCCAGCCAGCACATATACACCAAATGGTCTAGCTAAGGCCTTGGGAATTTTGGCACAAATACACACCAACACAGTGAAAGCATGATGACAGAATTACAGGTCACAGCTGACAATGTGGCGGCTGATGTCTTGTTGGTAAAGAGAGAGTCTTGAGTTCAGAGGGGGAAAAAGATAAGAGAGCAGAGGGATTACGTGGAGGGTTATTCAAAGAAAAGATTCCTCCAGTTTTGTGTTTATGCAAGTCCATTTGCATCCCTTAAAAATATCCTAATTATAAAGTATATAATTAAAAATTATTTTTGTGGAAACCTAAAAGCAAGACGTTTACGGAAAATAATTAAATATAAGTCATTATGTTGTTATCTTTAATTTGGAAGGAAAAAGTGGTTTTGCCCTCCTGAACTCTTCCTCAACTTGCAGTAGCAAGCCAGCGGGGTAAGATGTAACTGCCTGAATGGAGCTGTGCACTTCTTGTCCTACAGTCTTTTTCCAATGAAATCACGTCTGGTTTGAGAAACTGTCTTGTTAATGTGTCACATTTAATGATGTATAATTAACTGTGCAAGCTTCGAATGAACTTGAAAATGTTGTGATAAGTGATTTTCACTTTAGCGTCTCAAAGCCATTAACAGACATGACAAACAACATACTGAGATGGAGCACCACATGGGATCATTTACTACATTTATCCCCAACACTATTAACATCCCACGATACATATTCATTTAAATTGGACTTTTTTTTTAGATTTGCTCTACCATGGAGAGATATACTTTATATTTATGAAGAAAAATGCACACAAATGGGAATTTAAAACATTTGGATATGAATACCTGATATGAAATTGCTCTTACCGTTTGTTTTGGGGTTCCTTGTTTTGGGGTTTGAATATGCCTTAATTTATCAGCGTTTTTAAGATACATTTTTATTGATATTTGTGATGTGGCACTTTTCAGTGTGTCAGTCAAACACATTGTCCACATGTGTTTGCAGATATTTTGAACTCCCAGGGCATGATGACTGCTTGTTTTTGTACACCCTGCACAACTTCAGTTTGACAGCTGTGGCTTTGAATGAATCCTCGACTGCTGGACGTGTTGCCACAAAGTTTGGCCCAGATATTCAAGTTTTGAGAATTCACAGACAGGGGGTCTGTGAATTCTCAAAACTCTATATTCTCTTTATCCTGCTTTGACTTGTGTTTTTGTGTATCATTAAATGTCAGCATGTGCACGGGGTTAACAAGATTAGTATTAACCTTTATATACATGCAAAATATCAGCATAGATTAGCATAGAGGGTTTAAGCAGTCATACTGTAGCATTTAGCTCAAATAAAAGTTTGGTTAAGTAAAGCTTCAAAGATTTGCCACTTTGACTGAAGACTAGGTGTTGGAATCATATACTAACTCAAGATATGTTACAATATGCACACATGGCCCACGATAAAGATAGTATTATGATAGAGCAATGTTATAATTGATAAATAGCTAGACACCCACATAATGATCAGATTAAGTGAAGAAAATAAAATGCCCCTAAATTGATTGATGAATGTATTTATTCACTGCAGTTTGGTGTCAGTTTATCCTCTTATCAAGTCAAGTCAAGTCATATTTATTTATAAAGCACATTTAAAAACAGCTACAGCTGACCAAAGTGCTGTACAATACATTAAAAAAGAAAAAAACAACCTCCTCCATCCTCATATCATAAGCACCACTGTGAGGAGTCATCAAATTGTGATGCAAATTTGGCAGAGGACTCTGTTTCAAGCTCCTTTTTGAAAATTAAACCGTACACAAATCAGAACGATGAGATATTGCTGTATCAATGTTTCCTCCCGGCCCTTCTCTAGACAACAGTCTTGTTGTCTGTGTAGGTTCTCAGTCATCCAGGTGATGGTTATTCAAAGCTTGATCCAAAGGCAACTGGACCAAGATCTTCAACCAAGTCCAGTTGCCTTTAGATAAAGCTTCGAACAATGTTATTAACTTATCCATTCATCCAAATAATGACTGAATCATAGCAAGTCTTTAAGCGTATCATTAAAGGAAGAATATGCAACATGTAACACATAAATATTACAGAAATCAAGTATATCCTGTGTATATGTCTCCCAGAGTCATGACTGTCTACAATAAGTGAGAAGCTCAAGTCTTGCCAGCTGTGTTGTTCTCGGAGCTGTGTTTACATCATGTTAACATGGACGAGACTCCTTAAAGCCGTCATAGTCAAGGACTAGAGAACAGCTTATTTGAATGTCACATGAGCACTTTTAGATCACAGTCGTTCTGTGTCAATTTATATGCAATGTGAAGCTACAAGCTAACTAAAGTGTGCTAACACAATGCAGGCCATAGGTTATTGCAGCGGAAGCCAAGGTCGATTTTGTCCGCTGCTTGCGCTAAACTCCTCTGTGCTAACTTGATGGAGGGGGTTGGAGGTGTTTCGCTGGAAGAAGAGCGGAGTATAGTTTGGCCGTGGTGTCGGCAAACATTTTGTGTTGGTTTGGTGCTGGTGCTCAAGGGCGACATCTACCGGATCAAAAAGTCACACATTCTTCCTTTAGTAAAAAAAATGTCATTGATTAAATTGATACTTCTTTAAGTCCCCTAACCTGCTATTGGGCCTAAAAGTCCAATCCAGTCACTGGTATCTAAAGCAAAGGTCATTTTATCATCCAATTCTTATGACAGACCAACTGTCATAAGAAAGATGTTAAACATTCACTCAAATATAGAATCCATTTCAAGCCCTTTTTTTTTCTTTACATCTTTATTAATGTATACATTATGTACAATAATAAGTTATATATACAGTTATACTTTTGAAGAGTTTGAGTGTGTTTCTACATGTTCTACTCGTCTGTGTGTGCTATTGAGGTAAGTAATTCATGTTTGGCTTCTGTATTTCATCCTATCAGCATAATATATGTCAGACAAGACTTTGCCTGTCTAATAACAGGGCTTAGGTCCATTTCATTTCAAAGCAGTTCCATCAATTTGATTATTTACAAAAAGTCCAACAGCATAAAACATCATTTAAAAAAAGAGTTAAACCTGTTTAGAACTGTCTTTGAAGGTTTTCCACCACACAGGTCACGGTAATAAGTTTACTGTAGGGAAATGTGTTGGCTGTGAAGACAACCCTGCTCTAATGTGTTACATTTAAAAATGTGAGCCTTTTTATGAAGAGATATTCAAAGAAAGAAAAGGACAATTACATGATTGATGAACATGCACATTAATTAAGTTAAAGCATTGGAGTCCAGCCCCAAAGTTTGCTCTTTTAAAAGATGGAAGAAAAAAAAAAGACTTAGACAAAGAACTTGGCAGCAGGCGTTGTGTTTGATTTTGTGCATAGCTGCCATGGGACATAATGCTCACATCATCAGGCATCAGATAAAGATGAGTCTTATTACCGAGACATGAGATCAAAGGCAGTCTTGGCGTTGCTTATTTAAGTTGGCATGTAGAGCTTACTGCTGAGTTTTGAAGCTTAACTGCAGGATAAAAGTGGGATGCTGACCTACAGTACAGCATCTTATCTGGAAAGATAATCACTAAATCTCTAAAATGAGCATTAATGTGATGCTATTTATAATGTTTAACTTGATGCTTTCTTTGAGTCCCCCTTGGTCTCTGTAACTTTAACACTTTCTTTTTAGCTGCTTTACAGAGGACTGCAACTCACACAGCTGCATACTGTTCTCATTTGCCTTAACGGTCCCAAAGGGGAGAGGGGAGCTTAAATCCTGTCTGAGCATGACTTAGCCGACCACAAAAGCTGAGTAAGGTCAGACGTTATAGGACGACCGTAGCGCTGCTTCCACCACGACCGGCTGCATTCCTGCACTGTTCAGGTCGCAGCCACCCTCAGGGGCAGTTAGTCATGCCTCCTCTGTGGCATCTCTCTTTTTAATACGGGGGTTTTAAAAGCTTTTCCACTGGGCTTTCGGTGGTTAAGTGGCCCTAAATGCTTAATTGGGTGCTGGAAATCACAGGCACTTTGCACCCGGTTTGTAAACCACAACACTGCAGCCCATTAGGGGCCCAGGCAGCCACACGCCAAATAATTAGGTCTGGCGGCAGCACTAGACCGCAGCATTGGGGTAAAAAGGGGAAAATGTGGCGAGAGGACGAATTATAAGGGTGTTGGGGTCACAGACTGGGTCGCTGCTGAGGAAGTTCTCGCAGTGTGAGAGAGCATGTAGGCTTGTGTGTCAGGTTGTGGAAAGCAGCTTTACATGTGTGTTCAGGCATAACGTGTGCAGCAGAGCAGTGATGTAGTCAAGCATCATGTCGGATTAACACTGAACACACACCAGCTTAAATAGCTCAGCTTTATAGGATTCTTTCAAAGTGAAAATACTCTTCTGTTATGTTGATTACAGGTGAATTAATTTAGCTGTCAGGGTTACAGTTCAGTACAGAACACAGGAATTGTCCCTAGAGTTTAGAGCTGGGCATATTGCATAGGGATCTCGTATTTGCTGTTGTTCCTCTGTGATGTGATGTGTCATCACAGTCCGAGGTGCAATGAGGAATCTTCTTTAAAAGAAAGTTTTCTCTCTCTATTATGGAAAAAAAACTTCTAGTTACAGTCAGTAGGCTGTGGCATTAGCCAGAGGGTCTTGATCCTGACTACAATTAAGAACGCATGCACATCCACATTCTTCCTAATGACTGGTGAACCTGTGTGCCAAACAAGAAAGGCACTATATCTGCACCGCTGCAGAGGAGTTGTACAAAAAACATTTCCATCAGCACAGCATTGCATTTGTTTCTCAGCTGCACAACCTACTCAATTTTGTATCCAAATGTATGTAAATCAAAGTTACATGTGTTCTTGGTTGGCGTCCAGCGCGCAGTTCTAGCTACTTTGGCAAAAATGTATCAGCTCACTTGTGAAATTAAAACAAAAAAATTAAGTATTTTGTTCTTGCTAAGATAAAATATCTGACCTGGTAAACTAGAGTGTCATTTGAATCTTTGGTCTTTCATTTTTGGCTTAAGCACTTTAGAAAGGCAGAATATTAAGGCCCACAAAGTGTTCCAGTTTACTAGCTTCTTGACAGAGGAAACCCATAAGAGGAAAAAAGGATTGTGCATAGGGAGGTCCACTGAAATTCTTCATGTGACTGGGGTAAGGTCTATACTGTACATGTGCTATCCTCCTCGTCAGAGCAGTATCTGTCACTACATACATGTATACTGTAAGGCATTGTCTGTGAAGTCTCTGCTCCAGCACATGTTTAGACACTGGCACAGCGCTGGGATGGAGAGGGGCATGGAGATGGACAGGCTAACTGGCTGTGGAAACTACCAATGCCCTGCCGCCCGGCAGCCGCTGCCATCTCACTGCTGCCCAGAACGTCAGAACAGAGCGACTCAACGGCGTCCAACCTCTCGATCTGTACCAGGCGGGTCAGGAGGTCTGGGATGCTGTAGCCCGCAGTGCTCACTCTCTCAAAGAGCTGCAGACCGTCACTCATGCCACCAATCTCGTCGCGCTTTAACCCAAAGCTCTCGGCCAGATGCCTCCATGTCTTCACCACGGCTGCCTCACTACTGTACGAGGAGCTCAGCATGCGACTGGCCTTCTCCAGACAGTCGAAAGGAAGCTCTGTGGGGCTCAGGCCTGAGGAGGGACAAGGAAGGGTTAGAACTGCAGAAATATTCTTCAAACAGAGTTAAATACAGCCAGACCAAAATTATTTAATTTATAGCTATACAAGTGCTAAGGTGCTTAGGATGGAAATGTTGGTCCGTCCATATTTGGTCTGGCCTGAAAAGTAACAAGTATTTGATAGATTGCCCCAAATTTTCAAGGGTCTCCTAAGGCTTTTGTGCTCCTCAGACTTTCATCATGACATAATGACATGACATGATGTAACCAATTTGGTCATGAAAAAAAATGTATGACCAACTATTTATTTATTTTTTGCAGGTGTACCTCACCTTGTAATTTTAGTGAGTAGAATTATATGAATACACCATTATGACTATAACAGAGAGGGAAACAAAACAATATAAACCACAGATGTCTTAAACCCATTGTGACAGAGATTGAAAACAGAAGGGAGAGAAAGTTTATGCCCCACTGGCAAGACGCCAGTCAGCAGGGACAGGATGAATCTAAAAAAATGTAATTTGCCAAATCTAATGTCAATCAAATGTTCCTGGGTGAGTGATTACAGTAGTGGGGCCTCGATGCCAGTGGCTTTCCCCTGATACATGCACATGTACATTTTTTAACAAAGGGCCTCTGAGTTTTGTTTACTAGTGGACAGCTTAACTGACGAGGGAAGGTGATGACCTCTAGCTGATGCAGTTTTTACTTCTCAGAGCTATTTTCATGTAAGTACCGGTAAGTCATTTTTCCATTCAGTACAGTTCATACAAAGGTTCATCTTCACCAGAAAGAAGAAAATTACCCTCACGGTATCAGCATCAATCAATAATGAATTCAAAGGCTTGCTAAGATGGATATTTTGCCATGTGTATGAGAGACTTACCCTCTGTTGCATTGCAAGCTCTGGCGTACAGATCCAGGATCTTTTTCCTTCTACTCTGTAGCATCTGTTTGGTAAAAAAACAAAACAGCAATTTATTACCAAGTGAAACTAGACTGAGGATCTGTTCACAACAGTTGTTTTTCTTTAATCTCAAGTAAGCTCATCAGAAGTTCCATCTTCTTACCCCTGGTGTTTTATTGTTGTTGTTAATTGCGTTCATGCTGTTGATGTGGTTGACATTGCTGATGTGGTTTGGACTCGGGATGTTATCTGCAATGGTGGGGTTCCCGTTGCAGGCTCGGTCGCGGTCCCGGAGGCCCAGAGAGAGCAGGCACAGGTCGGGCTTGTTCCCCATGTTGACGAGGCACAGGTTGGGCTTCTTGCTCTCTGCTAATCCTTGCTTCTCAGATGCCTCCTCGTCGCTGTCAATACTTCGACTCAACAGCTGCTCGTTCTCAGATGATGCGTCATTTTCACTGCACACACATATTTGAACATTTTAACATGTGCACATAAAATATTTAAAGCGTGTACGGTCTCCTGCCAGTTACTACTTGTAGGTTTACTGGCAGGCTGGGGTTTCCTTTAATTTTAGTGTTATAAAGCCAACAATTAAACAGCCCTGCAATCAGCCCTACCTTCATGAAGGCTTTTTCTCTCCATTAATATAATAAGGGTAGGCTACATAGTAAAAAAACATCATATACTATGCATCACTATTCAACAGTAAATGAACATCAAGTTCCAACAAAAAACTGAACATATGACCAGAGCCCGACCGATAAATCGGCCAGCCAATAATATCGGCCAATATTAGCATATCAAGTGACTATTGGTATCAGCTAATATAATTTTATCACAGATATGTGCCGATATTACTAGAATTATTCACCAGTCAAATAGCTTTACATTTAAGTATCAATGCATTACACTAGCAGTTGTCTTTCACCAGCAGAGTGTGCTATTTATAGATTACAAAAAGCATTATCACTATCAAGCAGTGATGCACGTACATGTGCAGTTACTTTCCAGCTGAGTGACTATCTTGTCTTCATTATAAATCTTTTCACCCAAGTGTTTGATAACAGCATTTTAAGGAACAAGGCAATCAAATGTGTAAATCTATATCTATCTCTGAAGATCGATCTAAGAAAAATATCGGCTGATATATCGTTTTTTTTTTCTCTCCCTAATATCGGTATGTGCCCCAAAAATGTGGCTGGTTGATTGTAATACAGTGGCAAACCTGTATGTCCCACTAAAGCCTCTTTATTTTTTACTATTTTTGTCAATGCTACTATGCTTTTTTATTTACATTCTAACGCTTGCACTCAGATTAATGCATGTATGCACACTAATTTTGTTTCTTAGTTATAGACACTTTTACTTTGGACTACATAATCACATGCAGTGAGTGACGTCTAAAGCACACAGAATGATTCCCGTCTTTACAAACTTTCTAGTTGGAACGCTGACAAATGAAAATGACTTGGAGAAGAATGTTGTTTTTGTTGCCCCGGCTGCCGATGTTTCGAAGCAATTCCTCTGATTGACTGAAATAGCAGAGCTTTACAACACGACACCATGTAATATCACTTTATTACCCGACCTCTTCCTCTTAATGCCGACTCTGGATTTTCTCCCAAAAGCACCTTGTTGACAGAGACGCTCACAGAGTGCCATTGTTTCACCATCCTAAGTGCTTCTCCTCGATGCGTACACAAAATGGCATTGTTTCCCAGACATCTAACACCCACTCTGGCAGCTAAAGCAGTGAGTTAGCACATCTTCTGGCATGCGGCTTTACCACACTGTTTACAGCTATTGATGCTGAGGAGTGTGTGTGTGTGTGTGTGTGTGTGTGTGTGTGTGTGTGTGTGTGTGTGTGTGTGTGTGTGTGTGTGTGTGTGTGTGTGTGTGTGTGTGTGTGTGTGTGTGTGTGTGTGTGTGTGTGTGTGTACCACATCTATTCTCTTACTAACGCCTCCTTTATATATTGAAACAGAGTATCAATACCACCAGCATGTTCACTGCAGGCACTGTAATAATTCAACACAATGGCTGACTGTAGATTAGTTTCTAATACTGTATGACATAATGTGTTCCCACACTTCTCTCTGCACATGGGCCACTAGCACCTATAAAGCAGCATTGTCTGCACATGGGGGGGATTAGATGTAGGCCTATGCAGAAAGAAAACGGTGAGAAAACTGTCGTTCTTTTGTTGTCTGCCAGGACATGCTTTCACCTGGTGGTGGTTTTAGGCGAAGCTTGGAATAAATACCCCTATCAGCGTCAACTCCCACCCCCTCTGTCCATATCTTAATGCTTCAGGGCTCATTTATGCTACCTTTAAAAAGAAAAAAAAATCTTGTCTGCCTCCTCCAAAGCCACATAATGGCTCTCCGCTTCATAAAAAAAAAAAAAAAAAAAGCAACCCAAATTGCTTGGCTGTTTGCATGCTTACACACACATATATGTACGTGTAGACGTAGAAAATAAACCCGGCAATAATGTTTCTACGTCTGCTGTGACTTGTTCTGTGGTGGCTTAATTACAGGCAGATGCTGAAAAAAATATAAAGGCTTTTTTTCTGTTGTATGAAGTCTCCATGTCGCCACATAGAAATGCAAACACACTCATAATGCAGCTTCAAATGTAAGGACACAGTGGTACATACGACATATTCAACAATAAATATCCTCATCCTTCAGTCAGTGAATTGTGAGGGTTGATATGTAACAAACAACTATGCCGAAATAAACAAATGTTTTGATATAACGTCAGTTTAAAATAATTCTTAGACAGACACAGACATCAATTTTTTTTAAGGTTTAAGTATCAGGATTTTTGAGAGGAGAAAACACAATACTCCTCTGTAACGTCGTAGAGAAAATGTCTGGATATAACCATTAACAACTGAGAATCCATTCATTCATTCATCATTCCTTCATTAGTCTTGCTTTCTTTGTTTGCTTTTGCATCAGACAAGTCTCTCACCTTTTCACAGTCTTCTGAGGAGGCGCTTTGAGTTTGTCGAACTCGTCCTTCTCTGAGTAGTTCACCACGTTGTCTAAAAGAAGAAAAGAGAAGATGAAGAAGTTCATAGATTTTGACTTTTCACATAATCCTGGTGTCCCCGGGGGTGAGGCACAATCTTGTAAACACATAGCAGGAGCTTCACGTACACACCCACTCAGGCAATGCACACACACACACACACACACACACACACACACAGAGAGCAGGTCCACCCTGCCAGCTCCACGCTTACACATTACACTGAAACGCCTCTGTTACCACCTCTGTGCCTGTGTTACATATTGCATAAATATTCTGCTCTGAACCTAGGAATCTGTAAGCGCCATCTGATTGAATTGCCTTTGGTAAAGCTCCACTTTATCTCTTCTAATGTAGACACCAATGGAACAGGAACATGTTATTTATACAAGTGTTTAACTTGTGAGCTATGGGACACTCCTGAATTTCCCCGAGGGGATGAATAAAAAGTATTAATCAACTTTAAAAAAAAAAAAAGCAGTGTCCACAAAATACAAATTGTCAATTTTTAGACATCATCCCAAAGTTAGAGATCGAATTAATTGGGCTCTGATATTCTAACACTGCACATGACAGAATCACACCTGTATGAGTTGGAGGTAACGGAAGCAAACACATTCCCAAGATTTGTTCTGAAACTGATGTTTACCTCAAGCAGAAGAGCTTTAGGCACAGTGATGTATAAAACCATTACATATACCAATTTGGGAAATGACACTTACATCATGGACACTGATATGGACAGACAGGGTAATGAGTGGATGCATAAGTGGGACAAATACAGTGTGTGTGTGAGTGTGAGTGTGCGTGTGCGTGCGTGCAGGAGAAGGGGAGAGAGAAAGAAAGAGTGTTTGTGATTTTAAGCGTCTGTGTCTTTCATCTCACATCCTTATTAACTCAGTGTCTACATGAATGACAGCTAGCTCCGGTAGAGCTCCGAGCAATGGGCTTCTCTCCCACACACACACACACACACACACACACACACACAAACACACACACCCACGGTAACCAAATATGAAATAACAATGCCGACAATTATTTTCTAATCAACCTGTAATGACTTTATCACGCCTTTCAACCATAAAATGATAAAGTCAGCGAACTCTTTATACCGCATAATGCGTCTGCGGCCACTGATGCAGTAGGTGTGTCCCGTGTGTGTGTGTGTATTCATCCACACCACATGTAAGTGGTTAGTCAGTCAGTCTGGGAATGAAATTGAACAGAGCATCATTGTCAGGAGAAATGGCGCCCAAAGCTACGTATGGCCTTAGCTTTGGCAGCTTCACATTCCACCCTGATGTACTCATCATACAGCAGGTCTGTCAGCCTGCACACACACTGACACACACACACTTATACTTTCATTTGCATATGCTACAAATCACAAATATGCACACACATACTAGACTGACACATCGAGCCAACTCAGATGAACATTTAGATGTGATTCAGTCCGACTTGAAGAAATGGTTCTCTTTGTTTGATTACATATTAAATGTAGATTTAATCAGCTCTGTATCGGCTGTTTGAGGGCAGATCTTAACATGAACTCCAGAGTTCAAGTCTCCCATAATTCATACGTTCATGCAGCTCCAGAAACTCTACTCTGACTAAAATAAAATCCTGAAGGAAACACTATTTTTTTCCAGCGTGAAATAGAGCTTAACACATAAGCTCGACACAGATACCTGAATTAATGTTTTGCAGCAGGATTGAGTCAAATTACACACAGCGTCACTTTAATCCCTGCTGGGTGGTATCCTTTGATGTCTTAACCTACTGTGAAGCAGATTGTATGCTCTGTTTTGTCAGTAATTTTGTGGTTAAAAAAAAACAGTATGGAAGACGACTAATGATAGTTTGTCTTGTAACTTTAATTGTGCAGCTTTGAGTGTGGAGCTGTTTGAGTTTAAACTGCAGCTACTATTAACTATATACTATGTTTGCTCTCTTTCACAATGGCAATGTGTGAGTGATGTTTGTGGGAACATGGAAATGATCGGGAAGTGACTGATGATTTTTTTGTTCATAAACATTGAAATTTCAGTATGTGATGTTATACTTCAAGCTTATGCAAAACTATGTGTATATACCCCATTGTTCTTTTTGAATTATTGTATCAAGAACTTGGATCAAAACCCCGGTACCAGTCCTGGAAACCTAAATATTCTCTGTGAAATACTGAGTCAAAGCTTCTCTGCACTAACACTGAAATGGCCCAAATCCCGAATAATGTCAAAATACTGTTTATGTTACATTTTATGTAAACATCTTATAGACTATTATCAAAAAACAGGCTAAGGCTCACAACCACAATAATAGTTTGAATGTAATCTAACTCAATGCTGCTAAAGAAAGAGTGTGTGACCCGTTAATGATTCTGTATATACAGTATGTGAGTGAGTGTGTGTGTGTGTGTGTGTGTGTGTGTGTGTGTGTGTCATGTCTCACCAGGAACATCTTTCTTGTCTTCCTGTTTATTTGTCTGGGCTTCCACCGCCTTCACAACTTGTCCAGAACAACATGCTGCAAAAAAACACACATATGAGGAAGTTCATAAAAAAATAATGTTTATAACCTTTAACATCACTGTGTGTATGTGTGTGTGTGTGCGTGCGTGCGTGCGTGTGAGTGTGTTTGCACGTGTGTCTTACCCTGGCCACTTGGTTTGGCCTTCAGGATGTAAAACATAATGATGAGGACAATGGCGATGGCCATGATGAAAATGGTTGACATGGCAATGATGAGAGCTGTTGCTAAGTGACCTTGTCCAGTTGAGTCTGAGAAAACAAATTGAGGCCATGATGTAAGGTAGTATTGATTAAGTGTGTTATGATTTGTGTGTGTAAGAACAAAGTCAACATATCAACACTAGATGGCAAAAGGAGAAAGATGACTTCAGTTCGTATTTGTGGAGGTGTGTTTGTAACGTTTACCTTTATGTGGATGAGGGAACACAGTTGTGCTGCCAGGGTCGATCGGAGGTTTTTCTTTTGGTCCAGGTGTTAACTTGCCTGTAAGCAAACACGAACATGTCAACATAGCAAATTAACTGTAATTTTTTTTAAATAAAGTTTGTCCTTTCTGTTGGCTTAAATATCCATAATGAGCTGAACTTTTGTAGCTACCACAGGGATAACAAGGATATAGAACTAATTATTTTTGCTAACACCAGTCAGTCATAAACTTTTTTTTCTCCCCACAGCTCCCACCGCAGTAAACAAAATGTTATTGTGAAGTGTGGACACAGGAAGACTTCCTTTTCTTCCAATCATCACTTCCCTCCCTTGTTTCTTCTCTCTCTCTCTCTTTCTCTCTGTCAGGAGTATTCATCAACTCTTTCTCCTCTCCTAATGGAGCTGTAAACTCCTGGCAGCTCATAAATCACCTCTTTTAATCAGTCTTTTATTTCACTAAGTTGATATACTGTAGACCTTTTTGGCATGTGCCCTGCCGCTTCCCATGGTCTCAGAGCCTCATGTCATCACACACACACACACACACACACACACACACACACACACACACACACACGCAGACACACATCAGTGCCCTGTGGCTGCAGACATTAACTCTGGGTATGTGTTTACACTCTCTGGATGAGGATATGAGCCTGAACTGGAATTCTGTTTAGCGCCTTGCGGTTTCATCTCTTAATCATGTCTCGCAGCGTGAACACCCAGTGCAAAACGATCATTCTGCAGGGCAATCTGTGTTCTCAGGTCCAAACAAACTGAGAGGATCAGAGTAACAGAGTCGGGGATATAACAGAATAAATAATGAAATACATTTTTGTTTGAGGTATGAATTGTATCAGGGATGAGAATGACTTCTGATACAGATTTCTCTTAACATTTTTTTTTACATCAGTACGCCAAGTATGTCAGATGTTACTGTTGAACGGATGAAAGAGGAAAAGGGTTCTTCCAGTAACTTCAGGTCATGATATTTTGTTTTATAGTTGTCCGCTTTAAAAACGGAAGTTAAAGTCAATAAAAGTCAAAAAGTGACACTGGAAATTGACCTACAGACTCTGCCTGCCAAAGAGTAGCATAAGCACAAGCACTAACTTGCTAATCATCTTTCTTCCTCATACCCACTGAAGTTTTAATTATCACACACACACACACACACACACACACACACACACACAGCGAGGCAGGAGCCAGGGTAATTTGCAGATTACTTGGCGAGTGTCAGCCTGCCTTCACCCTGAGCAAGAAGAACTCCCAGCTCTCAGCTCCTTTTTTCTTTTTTTCTTATTGTGTGACGGACTAACTACTGACTGTCATTCCTAAATAGAAACGTTTTATTAGAGAGCATTTATATAAATATGGAGATCTTTTGGGAAATGCATGAGTTTGCTATCTTGCTAGAGAGTTTGAATGAGTAATATGTAACTCTGACACCTAGCTTTTAAAATGGGTACTGCAGTCCAAATTCAAAACATTAGAGAGAGCTGTTTCTCCGCCCCCCTCAGTAGATATATTACATATCGGTCCTTTAATTAAAGATTGATGCACGAAATGTGCAATTACAGTACGCAACCTGTTAGCTTAGCTTAGCATCAGGCAGCTAGCCTGGTAAAACAATCTTTATCCAAGCGCCAAATTGCAATTTGACATACTGTATTTTTTAAGGTTCCAAAAATGCTTTTTTATCTCTCAGCCATCTAGCTAGGTTTTTTTTTTAGTATTCATGGCTTAGCTTGTGCAGCAGCAGCCTGTAACCTCAATGACAGATGCATTAGTAATGTCATCTTTGCATCTGACACTCAGTTGTTATAAATAAGTGTTTGAACCCCAAAATCCAACTGTTCCTTTCAAAACATTCAACTTCAGGGTGAAATAACCGGGTGAAAATTACATTTCTAAATAAGGTTGATTTATCTGAATGAAAGATGAAAGAAGTTGATGGACTTGCCAACTATTTTGTGTTGTTGCATCATTTTATCTCTGTGATTTGCACTCCTTTGCAGTATCATTCAATCACTATTTTCCATGCCTGGGAGAAACAATTACTGTGCTGTTGAAAAGCCAGTGTTTATTCATACACACACAGAGACATAGACACACACACACACCTACCCCCCCCCCCACACACACACACACACACACACACACACACAAACTTGTACAGTATCCCTGCTCTTCTCCTCTGCAGGCCTGGGCTGCTTTTTGGAGTTTTCATCTTTCAAAACACACTCATTAAAAATGACACAATTACAATACCCTTCATTTTCTGGATCTTTAGTTACACTCAAAGGTTTTTTTTTAGTAATTATCATAAATCATAAATATTCTCCCTAAAGCAGTATGTATCTGAATGGGTCCAAAACAATACTCAAAACCTGTTGATATTCTCTCATTTTGGATCAAATACGATCCCTTGAGTAGTGACAATAAGTCTCCTCTCCACCCATGCAAGAATAACTCTTCTTGACAAGTATTGTGACCATTCTTTTTCCTTCTCTCTATTGTATATTAAACTAACCATTTCACAGATAATCACTAAAAATGTGCAATTGCATTAGATGTTGTGGGAGTCTCCATATCTCACTGCTGCCAACAGATTTTTGTACATTGTTGTGAAGAAACATCTAACTATCTAGATCATGCGTTCATATTTTAAAAGACTGAAGAGTAATATTGCCATGTACACCGCAGGTCACAAGTACCCATTCAAGCAGCGATGGCAGAGGTTTCTATGTAAAGTGCCCATCAGTATTAACTAATCCCATTCACACACATTTACACGCTGCAGCTGCAAGAGATAGGTGTTAAACCCCAGACCTTCCCGTTGAGAAACGGATGTTGCTCAAAAAGACGACAATCTGCAGACTAAAGACAGTGATCAAACTTCGGGAGTCAGCGGTCAAACACCACCGAGCAGCTCAGGTACCGGCAAAGCAAAAACACACACTCCTCATCCACAAATAGTGCCTTATGACAAGAAGGGCAACAGATGGCAAGAAATAACGCTCTGAGACCAATTACATCTCAAAGGATATGTTGCTAATTCAAGCGGTTGACAGAGATGGTTTCACAGCTTTTGAGTCCTGCCTAGTCAAGTTTAATATGCTCTTATATATATAATATTTGTTGGTCTTTGTACTTTATGTTACCACTTTGAAACACTTGCACTGTTTGATCTCAATTCTTCCTCTGATGATGTAAGTGCGTTTGTATTTTATTAACATGAATGTTTCAGTTTAAAGTTAATAGATAAGACCTGTTTTTATTAAATAAGTTATTATTGGTTATTATTGATATCATTCACTAAATCTGAAATACTATTAACAAGAGTGAGCTGGAATACTCTACAAGACATTTACAAAACATTTTGAGGGATGCAAAATATCAGCAAGTATCCTTATCGACAAGTCCCAAAAATATTACTAGTACATTCTTTTTTGCCAATATCACAACCCCACTACTGTAGGTCTGTTTTTCTTTTCATAAGCTTTGTAACTTTTTCGATAATATCCAACCTAAAGATCGTATAGTTTGAAAGCACGTGATACGGAAAAGCAGCAAAGTATCAAAAGGTTTGACAACCTTAGGATACAGTAACCGAGAGGTTTGATTCCTTAATTTCATAAGTTAAAGCAATTTTAATGTAGTTTCTTTGCGACGGGAAAAGTAGGATTTTGTCACTCAAGGTCAGGTTCACAAATGCTATCCCATCCCAAGTGTAAAAATTCCCCCCATGTGAGGCTCTCCTGGGGGGGGAAATTCCCCTCTATTTTGAAAAACAAATTCCATTGCCTGATTGTAAACATAAAGATATTAAAGCCATGTAGGCCTTCTATGTTAAAAAGATGTGGGCTAAGTGAGCAGTGTGCTTGAAAATCAATAAATTAAAGCATGATCAAATGAAAAATATTGTTTTAAAACTATATGCAGCAGTTTTATATGACAATATAAATAATGCAACAACACAAAATGTGTTTTTCACTAGTGGGTTTTTAAAATAAACATACACAACCAAGAGGACGTGTCTGAACGTATACTGATTTAAGAAACTATTTTAAACCAGGAGTTTCTACTTGACAGCATTTATGCTTTCTGTCGCAACAGTAAGAAAAAAAAAACTTCTCCCGCATAAAATATTGGCAAACAGAAAAATCCTCTGGAAAATATTAATGTCAGATACAGTATGTGGTTGCAGAAACAGTTGGTGCCATGCATGCAAAGATTCATAGCATAGTGTCAGGTATGTAGGGAAGTTCTGGATAAGCTGCCAAAGAGCCCCGTGTTGCCAGAAACAAGCAGAGATACAGGGGGTGGGAGGGGTGTTGTTGGGTTCCTTTTGTGTCCATCAGCGAGGCCTGCTGACAGGGGAGGACAGTGACCAGAGGGGTCTGGCAGAATTCCTGCACAACCTCTGACTTCCAACTGTTCCCTCAAACCAAGTCCAGGCTTTCAACATCTGTTTTTGTACAGCTTGTCCCCTTTTTATTTCCTTTCATTTAGACAGACAACTTTAATGTTGGCTAGCTTTGAAATGCAACGGAAATCAGGTCTGTGTGAAGATACGTGTTGGAAAAAAGAAAGAGGGGGATTTCGGCGCTTGACACAGAATTAATAGAGGATGTTGTGGAGGAAGGTTAAAAAGAAGTGAGCGGAAGGAAGAGGAGGGGGATGAAGATGTTTGCTCTTACATTCTTTGGTGTTGCGCGGTGCATTCTGGCAGGAATGGCAAACCATCCCGTAGAGGTTCCTGGGTCTGGTCTCCAGCATGTAATACCTGAGGGACATATAAAACAAAAATCACAGGTATAAACCAGCAACTTGTGATATTGAGTAGAAATGTCACTCTAGATCTGATAAGGCTAACTAGTAACCTCATGTCTCCTTCACAAGAGATTCCTGAGAGAAGAAAAATCTTGGAAAGTGTGAACAGTATATGTGGCATAAACCTTTCAGACACACTGTATCTATGTGATGTATGGGAAGCCGCTGAGGTGAAAAGTTTGCCTCAGTGAAGAACTGTACATAATTGATGCCTTGAAGGTACTAAAAACGGCTTGGTTCATTTTCTCGCCTTGAGTCATGAAGCGTCTATCAGAAGGTAAGAAGAGGGAGAGGTCTGTCACTGACTGGGAGATGTATTTAATCATTTCGGTTTAAGAACATGTGCAGAATGTACTCATACTGTATGCACTGTGCAGGCTATTAACTGATGCCTTTCATTTATCTTCCAGTGCAATCGTGCGCTCATGGCCAGCATGAGAAATTCAAGAATCCATTTGTTTTTGTTTCTGAGGTCATGTCAGATAGAAAAGCTCCTTCTGGATTTCTGCCATTTGACATAAGTCACTGTATGATAACTGTGAACGTTTAAAGGATTTAAAATGTCATCAAGATACGCAAACATGATCTGACTCATTAATGGTAAAAGGAAAATAAAGTTTAACACTTGTGCGAATGTTCCCCTAGAGCATTCACTCGGTGTCATCTTATATTATATATGCATGATTCATCATTGCAGATTATTGGCTTTTCCTGTGTAGAAGTTTAGCATTTTCTGTCAAGCATTGTAACAAACCATGCAAACGTGCACATAAGTAAAAAGAACAATATTGTAAAAGAAAGTTCACACTTTCAATCACATTCGGTTAAACAGTCTGAAAACTACTTTTGAAGCGGGTATACTAATTGTTCTGATTATACTTTATATAGATAGGCTCGTAATATGTGACATGTGGGGGCGCTGGTGGCCTAGTGGTTAGTGCGTGAGCTCCATGTGTGGAAGCTGTGGTCTTTCAGGCGGGTGGCCCAGGTTCGAATCCGACTCATGGCTCCTTTCCCGCATGTAATTCCCCACTCTCTCTCTCTCTCTCTCTCTCTCTCTCTCACACTGATTTCCATCTCTATGCACTGGCCTATCTCTAAATAAAGGAACAAAAAGGTAAAAAACAAAAAAAATGTGACACGTGTTACTGCACAGTGCTGCAATACCAGCACTTGTCTTCACTAATATTAGTTGTAATGATTTACCTTTTCATTTTATGGTCAACATGAAGTCATTGCTTTGAGATAACTACCTTACAATTTGAAAGTGCTGCTGATTCAGATTCAGACGACTTTATTAATCCCAGCAGGATAAATTCAGTTTCACAGTGTACCGAGTTATTGAAAACAGGAAACAGGAAACAGGTATACTGTACAGGTAGGCTGCTGGGTCGTACACAATGGAGCCCCCTCCTGCATCACGACACACTTCTTAGAAAATGGTCTGAGGTTTTAAACAAGAAAATATCTGTTACAACACAAATATTCTTATTTGCTCTTTTTTTTTTTCTTTGCTGAGATTTAGGCTCTCACTGAACTTCACTACACCTGTTCAGGACTGTGGTTGTCTGCAATAGACAGATACAGCCTCTGTAACGCTCTACTTACAGTACAGTATAGATACTTTATATAATACTGGAACACTCAGACCAAACTCAGTTGTCCTGAACACACACAAACACATTACTGTCACAGTTAGATTCCAATGAAATCCACTTTCCTATGAAAGACTGAAGTCCAAGAGAAACAGAGGCCAGCGGGACAGCATCCAGACAGATGACAGAAGAACATTTCAGCATCCTTCTAATCATATTCACATCATAGATATTGAATGAAATATGGTTTAGAAATAAAAGTATTCCTTTAGCAAACATTCATGTGTAAATTATCTGTCACACAGCAGGAGGTTGAAAACAGAACACGGCTTATGTTGTAACTGGTGTTGAAACAACAAGTCAATTTCTCCAGAGAGGCGAGAGGAGGGGGGGTGATGGATGATGGGAAAGACGGGCGAGGAAGAGGAGAGGACGGTCTGGTACCGTTTAAACGTCCCTTATTGACTTATTTTTTTAAGTGACGGGGATGCATCTGCAGCTGTCATGTGCAAATACAAGTGGAGGATTTAGTGCGTGCTCGAGTACAAATGGGGGGCAGAGTTTTTAAAATGAAGACAACATGTTTATGTTTATGTCAACTGATTTTAAAGAAAGTGTACGCACATTGTAGACGTGCCACTATTTGAATGTCCATTCTCACAATCTACATATATTAATGTACTTTTGTATGCACATGAATTGCTGATGGCCCTGAACGTTACCTACAACAGGAGAATTAATATAACAGAACATTTATTAACATACAGTATTAAAAGATTGTGCATGAACTTGGTTTATCCAGTTGAGGCCAAATAAAGTACAAAACTCTGAAGTTCTCAGCAGAAAAATATAACACCTTTTTTTTCACCTTTGTAGATGTTTCCCACAATTCAGTGTTTTTCTCACTATATACTGTATATATAATAATAACACGTCTTTGCTGTAAAACCACCTGGTTTCAGGATATTTTAACAGTTTCACACGTTTCTTCTTTGGAATTAACTATTCAACATTATTTTCATTTAAGTATTTTGTTCGAGTAAGATCAACTTTCTTTGTATCAACAGTAAGTGGTCATTTCATTTATTTTCTGTGATATTGAAGAAAGAAACATGAATTGTGCTTATGATCTCTTCTACACTTGCAGAGTGTCATGAACATCAGTGACACGTGGCATCTGAATGCCTAAAACACTGCAGTCTTAATTCATTCATTAATTTCTAAATACATATTTAGGCTCAAACTCATTGTTAGCAGCACACATTTACATAATACCAGTATTGCAGTATAAATCTGATCCTGAATGCTGAGTGTTTAGTGACCTTTAAGCAAGGTGACAGACCTGCAAGCTGCCACACTGGCATATTGCAGAAAGTCTATTTTTCTACATTAAATCTTGAGAATGTGATTGTGTTGTTTACCCTGGTAAACAAGGTCCACACTCAGCGTCGCTGTCTGGAGTTCCTGCTAGGCGTACAGTGGCTTTGTAGAGGGCGTCACAGTCCTTATGCCGTCTGCAGATTTCATACTTCCCTTTGGAATACTTCCCATGTGGGCACGGCACACAGGCAAAGTCGTCGTCCTTCACTCCGTAGCCACAGGTCTGTAAAACACACACACACACACACACACACATAACCACACACATATTTGGTTAATATTTCTCTCCTGCTGTGCATTTGTTATAATTTGATTTTCAATGAACTCATCCTTAGATCAACATGATGATTTACAACTGCACTGTGGACAAACACATTGAAAAAAAAGAACACCCCTCACATTCACAAACACACATCTGTTTTAATCCACGTCCTTAGCAGATCTGGCATCATTGTTTGGAGATGACAAAAGAAAATTTGTGATTGGCCACAGAGGTCCCTGTGTGTTTTTGTCCACGCCTGGTAGTGTTTAAGATGACCAACTCATCATTCTCTCCCGATGCTATCGGCCTCCTCCCATCTCCGCATGTTAAGTTCTCACAGCGGGGTGGCCAAACAACAGGCCACACACACATTCACTAAAACATACTCTCTCTGTCTCTCTCTCTCTGGTTTTCTGCTCCCTCTCTTTCATCTTTCATTTCTCTCCGTCTTTCATCCGTCTATTGAAAACAAGCCTCTGCCGAGTGGCTTTGGGCTACATCAGCCTTACTCTCAGAGACGGCATCTAATATTTCCCCTCTTCTGTTTGACGTCTGAAAGTCTCCATTTGATTTGTTTGATATAAAACTGCGCCGAGCTATCAGCGGGATCTCGTCCCTTTGGGTTAAAGCTCGCTTTGGATCTTTTGGACAATGTGGCTCTGCTTCTGCATTCAAAACGGTTCCAGACTGATTGAAAGCTTCTCTCTTTTCAAAGCAAATTTGTCACCTCTTTGAATCTTACGTATCATGTGTCACAGAGGTGGAAGGAGGGAGGTGGGGGAGGTGGTAAGAACCTATAATCAAGTGCAAATATAATTTCCTGTATTTGGAAAGTCGATGGAAAAGTAAGAGAATGAAAGAGCTGGGGGGAAAGCGAGGGGGTTGATGACACGCCGCTTAAAGATCCGCAAGCAGAATCCAAACCAGAGAATTTGCAGTACATGTTACGCATCTTAAACCAACATGCCACAAGGTCCTCTGGGAGAATATTCTGAATAAAGCGCAGCTTTCACACATCACGCAGGCGGACACAAAAGTTAAATATCCAATTTTAGAATATGTCCTCAGCTCAAGCTCACTTTCATCACTCGAACAAAAAATATGGAAGTTCGAAATATAGGTCTATGATTCAGTGTTTATGTTCATGTAAACTAGGAAAGAAATCCAATCCGGCTTCATCAGACACAATCTGGAAACAAGATGTACTTTGAAAGCATCCTCAGATGTTCATATTACTGTGCGTTGTAAAGTTTCTGTGTGAGTTTGTGTGCTTCAACATGTTTTCTTTCTGATGTGTCTGTTGAGAGGAAGAGCCCCTATGGTTATCCCATGATTAAAAGGGTGTCATGAGGCTCTCACACACATGCAGGGAACACTCAGTGGAACAAAAAAAAACATGTGAATTACAGACTGAGGTACCCAGAGGATCAGACAGGCAGGAGAAAGTGCAAGAGGGCTCTCATCTCGTTGTTTAAACATCTTTTTTGATCTTGTTTGTGAAGCTCTAGAAATGGGAAAATTGCCTTGATAACAGAACTCTGTCCTAGTTATGTTGACTCTGTGTTCGAATCCGACCAAATCTTTTAACTAGATAACTTTTTTTGGGATGCAGCTGTATGCATGCATGGAAACAAGTGGAGAAAAACAAAAGTAAAGAGTGTGAAGGCTGCAGAGTGCTGTAATCATTCCCATTTTAATGGTAAGCTTGTATAGTGATTTTCTAGTCTTCTGTCTACTCAAAGCGCTTTTGCACCACATGTCACACCTACACATTCACATCCATTCACACACTGATGGCAGAGGTTGCTATTTGAAGTGACCATCAGTAAAAACTAATCCATTTATAAGCATGCACACACTGATGATAGAGCAACTTGGGGTGTCTTGCTTAAGGACACATCAGACATATGGGTACTAGGAGCTGGGGATCGAATAACGATCTTCCGGTTTCTAAATTTGAAATAAAAATGAAGACAATACTCATCACGTAAAACATTTGTTGCACCCAAATAAATGGCAGTGACTGTGATTCTTTCTGCTCACTGAGCGGCTGACTCCCTGAATAGGGCGTGGCATCTCAGGGTGCCCACTCATGCGTTTCCCTTCACAGTGTTGTTTTTGGCAGTTGCAGTCTGACGGAGGCTAAATCACTAAGTGACTACTGAAAGTCATTCACTGCAATGCGTGCCTTCACATCAATGTCAATGAGAGCGATAAAGCATAAGAAAAAATGCTCATTTTAAATTTAGACACCCTTCACTAAGCAGCTATGTGCCTTTCTGTTGAGTGTAGTGTGGGTGGTCTGAAGACAAATGACACATAGGGAGTTATTGACCCAATGATTCAAGTCATGCTCAGAAATGTTTGTACCAATATCCCTCTAGTCTTGCATGTCACTCTAACTACAGTGACACACAGGACTATGGTCTAAAATGAAAGGCTGTCATGTATGTCTCACCATATGTGGCTCTTGTCCCGGCTGGCACTGAGGGCAGGCCTTACAGCTGTTACTGGTCTGGTTGAAGAACTCGTACTCTCCACAGCTGGAATACTCTGCACTAGCAAACATGCAACACACCTGGAAGAACAGAGAGAGAATGACAGACTTAATAAATAGTGACACTTTTACCAGACATGTTTATACGATTTTACGTGTGAAATCTGCATAACTCATGTCCTTCATACCAGACACCCCCTCCCACCACATACCTCTGGCTTTAAACACATCATGCCTCAGTATGACTGTAGCAGAACAGACACATTTTCCTGCTTTGTTTAAAGGTGATAAAAAGTGATTTACACACAACATCTGCAACAGCAGCATAGTGAAATGAGTGTACTAGATGGCTGATTAACACACTAAAAACAACTCTCAAGTTTAATGTATTCATTTGCTGAGGATTGAAAAAAACATTTAAACAAGCAAAGACAACCCCATTTGACTTCTTCTGTGATACTCAGAAAGTTGAGATCATTAGATTGTTAGTCATCCTGGGGTACAAGAGATGGCACAACACCAGTACGTGCTTGTGTGTCTGTGCATTGTGTTGGTATCTGTGTGTGTGGCATTTTGTCATTGTGGCTGACAGTAATAAGTAGCAGCTGGTATTTATAGCTTAAGCAGCACACTTTGTTCTTTTCCAAACAAACTAACTGACTTTAAAAGTCATCTGCAGTCCAGAAACTAATGGAGGCACAGAGAAGAAGTGCATGACTAACTCTCTCCATCTTCTCTCTGTTGTTTTAATAACATCTCCCTCTCTGTCTCCTCTTCATCAGAACCATCTCATGATAGCGGACACAGGATGCCGCAACAGTATACATACAAATGTACATTTCCTGTGTGTGTGTGTGAACAGTATGTGTATTAAGTGTTTATATGGGATCAAATCATCGCAGGCCAAGTAATCTGTTAGTCATTTACAGCAGCCTGAAAATGAACTGACTTAACCTCAAACACCTGATGTACAGTCAGTGTGAATACAAATAAGCAGATAATGATTCACACACTCTCAACCATGAGTCCTAATCCGAACTTGTAGTTTTCATTATTGTTCCATAAAAAATACATTTAAAAAAGGACACCAGAGCAAATACGATGCTTCCCCTCATCAGACAGGGCACAACTCACTGTTGGTGCAATCGTTGTTTAAATAACTTTTCAGTGCATTTCAACAGAGTTAAGGGCCAGATTAAAAAATAAAAAATAAAGCAGTAAAGAATGAAATATTAAGTCTTACAGTCATGTTTTAAGGTCAAGCTCTCAAAAACACTGGATCCTACATTTCCCACAATGCAACTCAGTCGAAACTTTCATAACACCCCCGTCGTAACAGCCCTGCACCTGTCTATTTGAGAAGCAGGATTCTGTAAAAACACCCTGCAGAGCTTTCCAAAACTAATAAAATGTCTACAACTTGTTTTATAGAACGAAGAGGACTCCTTCATGTGAAATGAACAGAATGCCTCTTAAACATCATCAGACACTTAGTTTTAAACTTACAAGACAGGCATCCTGTTATATATTATTGACACTTTGGACAGGGTGAAGACCCAGTGGTGGTATACACAAGAATAAACATCTTGTGCCCCTCCTTTTTGTCCCTGTGGCACAGTTATAACTAAGCACCCAGCTGTGAGCAGATATGATAACATGTTCATATTCTCAGTGTTTCCACTCTTTGTTATTCTTTACAATATGAGTCTAGCAGCATAATCCTGACAATTCTTATTGTTCTTCACTTTATCTCAAATAAGCACTGATACATTTCTAAGGTGACCCCGTGCTGATATGGTATACCAACACCCCTTACTAAGTGCTTTTTCGCTATTTTCTGACTGCTACTGTGTCAGCCTGCATGTGCACACAATAGATCACAGAGAAGGAAGAGAGGCTGTGGGAGAAGCTGTTGGGAACACTGCCAGTAGGTAACAAAACAAGGACAAAATAACGGTGATCAGGTTAGAGAGGGATCTGCTCTCTGGGCAGCTCTAAGGTCGACTAATTGGAACAAGTGCCGCTGAGTTGTGTAAGCTGCTGGCAGTTGAAAATGAAGCAAATTGAGTTTCTTAGGAGACAAGAAGGTTTAATGAGAAGAAGGGTTCATGGTTTTAAAGTTCAGTTAAGGGGCAAGAAAATGCAGAAAGACCGAGGAGTTTATCAGAGAAAGAAACAAAACAAATAGATTAAGAGGAAGGGAGATCAAACTAAAGTGAGGTAAAAACTTACTAATAATGATGACAGAAAGATGGACTTCTTCTGACCTCTCCTCTCTGACATGTCTGCGTCGTTTTCCTGAGAGAGACTAGAGAGAAAAACAGAGAAAATGTCATTACTTAAAATGCAAACACTTCCTACAACCAAGCTTCACTTACAAAACGGCAGTGTCATGAATGTTTAGGGGCTCCTGCCAACAGTAGTGTGTGTGTGTGTGTGTGTGTGTGTGTGTGTGTGTGTGTGTGTGTGTGTGTGTGTGTGTGTGTGGCCCAGCTGAGTTCCCTGTCCCGTTGCCATCACGTCATCGTCTATAAACATGTAATCGCAGCAGAACAGCCCATGGCACTCTTCATAACTGCAGGTACACATCACTGTTGGCTCACCTTTGCTCCAATAAAGGACGGTGATATAACTTGATAACACTTAATTATATGACAATTTATTTATTATGTATTTCTTGCAATGTGGCTCACGTTTTTGTCAAGACCTTTTTTAACTTCCGTGATTTGATGATAACTTTGTGCTGCAATTAGGATTTTTTTTAAAAAGGCCTCAGGTGCTATTTCTGCGTAACAAAAAAACCCCATAAAATCTTAATGTTAAATGTATAATTAATTCTATTTCAAGTCAAGGCCCGTAATAGAATTGACAATTATGAGACATTAAATAGGAGCGCCGTTGGCCGAGTGGTTAGGGCGCACGCCCCGTGTACAGAGCCTGCAGCCCTCGAAATGGGCAGTCCTGGTTCAAATCCAAACTGTGGCTCCTTTCCTGAACCTGAACATTCAATAAATTGCAGTGATGCTACTTGTGCTGTTAGACCAACTTGGGATAAGGTGGTTGTTTGGCTTAGTTGTTTTATTTTAACAACCAAGCTGATATGTAGAATGTTTTACTTACTAACAAAAATCCTTAAAAAGGAGGAAGATAGGAACTTACATAATTGTATAATTATATCTGTTCATATGTGCTTTTGATGCTGTTGGTAGCAATCCATCATGAACTGCGTGTGTAATTCTCTTGGCAAGAATAAAAATGAACAGAAATCTGTGTGTTAGTAAGAGTCAATGTGCCCATTTGGTAAAGTGATATTGCGTGTTTACTTCTTTGTACATGTGCAAGATCATCATTGTAATTGAAATGATGTGTGTTGGCGACGTTCTCAGAACAACTTGGAAAAAAAAAACACACAAACATCCTGCTCAGTTTTTAATGTCTAAACTAACACAGCCCAGAAGATTAGATAAATCATGTAATTTTATGTGTGTGTGTGTGTGTGTGTGTGTGTGTGTGTGTGTGTGTGTGTGTGTGTGTGTGTGTGATTGTGTGTGCGTGTGTGTGTGTGTGTGTGCGTGCGTGCGTGCGTGCGTGCGTGCGTGCGTGCGTGCGTGCGTGCGTGCGTGCGTGCGTGCGTGTGTGTGTGTTGTCTCTGACAGTGTGGCAGGGCAGATAAGAGTACTGCTTCAGCCGCATCAACAAACACTGTGGGAGCTGCTGTGTGTAAAAAAAAAAAACTCTCTTAAATTATAATCTAGTTTTAATGCACTGATGGTTAAACAGTATTTACTACCCTGACCTTACAATGTCAATTACATCCATGAAATCAAACGCAGGATTCTTAAATTCATTTGCAGAATGTATAAATTCATCCTCTGGATGTTAAGATGTAAACTTTAAGTCAGTGTTTCTGACAGTTTCAGGATGGTAATTATGAGGCATGTGTGCAGGAGTTACATACTACCGGCCACATTGAAAACATAACATTTATTTTTATTTTTGTAAGAAGTATTAATTACAATCTCATATTACAAATCCACCTTTTCCTGTCAGCCAACATTTATTTTCACAGCTAAATCGGATTTTGGTGCATGTTTATGTATCTACAGTGGATTAGAACAAAATGACAGGTCTCAACATTATCAGTGGTGGAGTTAAAACATGCACTCACACACACACACACACACACACACACACACACACACACACACAGTCGACGTACACAAACACACCCTAATTACTGTTATTCAGTACATTTCTCAGGGAGCCCCTTTGAGTTTTAAAATGAAGAAGGTAGAAGTATAATTGTTTACTTAAATACTTTTCTTTGATTCAGAGTCTCTATTCTTATGTTTATATTATTCTTTTTTCAAATGTGATCTCAAAAGTGCAAGTGTGGTCTATCTTCTAACTGTTTTCCTCCCATTAATGTGCGTCAAAATAAATGGATCCCATCAGAAGAACTTAAAGTCTACAAGGTTAGAATTCTGGTTGTTGAATAAATCTCACATTAGTCAGTCAGTTTTACGTGTGGATGAGTCCACCCAGGTCGATTGATGGGAAAACAACAGCTTAATTACTGAGCTTGTTATTGATGTTATATAGCATAAGGAGTGTGTTAAGTATCCAGAATATCATTCAGCTGTAGACAGGGTCAGAGTGGGACTCAGCTTTACCTTTTCTCTTTTTATTATTCCATTACTTCACCTCTTGACTTTCTTGGGGCGGAGGGATCAACCGATGTCAATGAAAAACGTAATAACAGAACCAATGTTAAGCTTGTGTTTTTCAGCATGAACCTCCTCGACCAAGCCTCCTGTTCGGCTGTCGGAGAACATTACTGTCTATAGTGAAAAGCTACTCCAAGAACTCCTATCCATCCCAAGTGAGAGCAGCCTGTTTGATCTATTTACTGTCACTGTACCCTCGCAGCCATACAACCAGCCTGGCCCACCGGGTGCTTTTCCTGGTTCCCCAGATTAGCCTCTCCGGGCCTGGCTGTAGAGGTCTTGACAGGCATACAGGAGTTCCAGTATTTGACCTTTGTGTGACAACAGAGCTTTTGTTTTCAATATCTATGCAGGCATCACACCCTTTACCCACAAAGCTTACCAGCTGACTAAAACTAACCACTCCTTAACCGTAGGGGCCACAGACCAGACAACAGATGCATTCACACCTTAACTTTGGCATTGAGGAATGTAGTTGTTTTGACTGATGTGTCCTCAAGTCAGATGTGTTCAATTCTGCACATTAACAGCTAAACTTTAAATCCACCTGAAGGTGTCGGAAGCAACAAAGTCTGTTTTTTGTTAAGAGTTTGAAAGAGAGAGAGAGAGAGAGAGAGACCAAGAGAGAGAGATACAGAGAGAGAGAGAGATAGGAAGAAGCTGCCATTATCTGCTATCGGGGTCAGAATCTGCCTGTCTGGCTCCAAGCCTCTGACTTCACTCTTCCATGTCGCACACTTGAGTGAAAAACCTTCAGATCTTCAATGACGGCTAATCCCTCAACCCTGGGGGTTTGATCTTTCCTAATTACAGTTTACACTCACACACACATGCAAACACACATTAACACATAGCTATATGGCAGAGAGTTGGCTTCTGAGGTCCAAATAATCTTAATTGCACGAGTCCTTGTGGTGGGACCACAACCGGTGTGTATGCGTCTCTGTGTTGCGTGCACTTGTGCGCATACGTGTGTGTGTGTGTGGTTGTGTATTGCTGCTGAACAGATAAAAGGGAAGCTAGCACATTTTTTGCAATCAGGAAATGAAGAACTGCCAAATGGCTTTGGACCCCCTCAAGGCTACTCATTATGGGGTTAAAGTGATACACACAGACACACAGACACACACACACACACACAGACACACACACACACACACACACACACACACACACAGACACACACACAGACACACACACACACACACACACACACACACATATATACATATACACACTGCTGTATTTGAAGACTCTGTGTCTTCTGACACTCTGTTCTACCTCTGTCTACCCTCTCTAACCTCCATCTCTCTGTCGGGGCAAGTCTGAGATGAAAGTCAGCCTGAGTTTTTTGCCCCCCTGGGGGTATCAATCTTCTAACGAGCACATAATCTCTAATAAATAACCCTTCTGTCTTTAGCTATGTCATTAACAGGTACAGTGTGTGCGCTTCCTTGTGGCACCAGCAGAAAACAGATTGTACCGTACAGCTTCCCATATGACTGTTCGAAATCAGAGCAGATGAAGGATCAGTTCACTGACTGACCTTTATCTACAAAAATAAACATTTTCTCAAAGCTTTATTATCTTGCAATGTTTTACTTGTCAACATGTTGTTTTTTTTCTTGTAATCACCCTCTCCAACTTCCTCCTCTCATTAGCTCCTTCTCATTTTCTGTTTTTCATTAGCAGTTGATTGCTCTTTTTGTCAGCAGAGGAAATCCAAAATGAAATTCCAACACAACAATGGGAGGACCTTTATGGCCTGCTTCATTAAAAAATGCACAAAAACAAACCCATTGACCTCAAAAACTCATACAATGCAACACAGACCAAAAAGAAGACTTCTTTCATCAAAACTGCCTGGCCTACAGTGACAAGAATAATTCTTTAATATCATTTAAACTACAGAAAAGAACTTCAAAGCAGAATTGAGTGCTTTTTGATAAGCATTTCGGCTAAATATGACAGCCAAAGGTAACAGACTTAGCTTAAAGTCATTATCGGGATATTTAGACCCTGTAGTCAAAAGGATAGGTTGTCATACGGAATTTCCCATACATAAGTGTATACACACACATACACACACAGACACATTAAGAAGTCAGGGACAACTTAATTTTGGCAGTCTGAGCAGCCATCCTCCCATTACTGCCAGTCAGTCTCTTTTTATCATCATTTTATTTTGTATTCTTTGCGCTTGTGCCTAGGAACTTACTGTGTAAGCACCACGGTAATTTCTATAAACAGAGATTTACCCTGTTATGACTATGACCATCCAAAGTCAACTAATCAAGCTATAGTCTTTGAGAACTAAGAACATTGTGTTTTTTAAGGAAATGGGTGATTCATCATTGGTCTTTTCGTTGAAAAAAACAACAGTCATATCTCTGGCACCATACGGGTATTGACAAAAGAGCTTGGGATTTAAATAAGCTGTACAATTTCACTGCATTATTAGTATATGGTAGGTCAGGGTTTCCCCTTTTTCTATTGAGAGGGGAATCCCTGGTTTTCTAGGTGCTTTTTTCTCCTGTTAGCCTCCGCAAGGCTGCAATACAATATCACTGAGGACCCGGGA